TAGCGAATAATGCTGAGCTAGCCAATGCATTGCAATGCGCGCTATTATCAATTATTGAATTGTAACAAGACTTCAATTTGATCCGTAACAAGAGACCACTTATTTTTTTTATATGTGTTCATGAATGTGTGTTTGTTTACTGTGTGCGGGGATTAAAAATTAAAGATTAAAGATTCCAGATCTGACGAATGTATTTATAAAATAGCGTAATAGTGCTGGGTTAGCCGATGCCTTGCGATACACGCGTTTATCAATTAATTGAATTGTAACAGGACTTCGATTTGATCCGTAACAAGACACCACTTATTTTTTCTTATACTTTTAAAAAAATGCATGTTTGTTTACTGTGTGCGGGCATTAAAGATTCCAGGTCTGACGAGTGTATTTATTAAATAGCATAGGCCTATAGGGCAGAGGTGACCAACGCATTGCGATACGCACTTTTATCAATTAATCGAATTGAAACAGGACTTCAATTTGATCCGTAACAAGAGACCACTTATTTTTCTTATTCGTGTTCAAAAATATGTGTTTGTTTACTGTGTGCGGGGATTACAGGAGGACAAGCCCATCCCCTCGACATGTGATCCAGGGTATGGGGGATACATTTTTCTCAAAATGCACACAGCTCTGAAATCCTTGACCAGTGACCACTCGCCATGGAACTCTTTCTGTTGTGACTGTAGACACAAGTTTCTTCATTATCACATCTGAATGAGCCTATCATTCATGCATTAGAAATCACACTCCCAACACACAGAAAATGACTTTGAACATAGATCTATATTCGGGAAACATATGCCAGTTCCACTCTTGTTTACTTTATTTTGCATTATATTGGCTTTTATGTGTAAACCAATATTTTGAGACCTTTTCTGCATTTTTGTGTTTTTGGCACATGTACAATAGGCCTATGTATTTTATGTGCAACCGACACATTCTCCAATCTCTTGTATTTGTTAGACTCGCACGTGCTTTAAACAAAGCATGTTGTTGTACACACTACTGATGCAAACACAGAGATGAATTCTTAAAGTGAGAAATAATACATTTCCTCAATATAAGCTCAATTTATTTATCTCTTTCTAGTAAATGGGAGAAAAGGCTTATATTGTTCTTTTTGCTTGCTTTGGTTGGCCTTAAGTTTAATGACAATATTATTGTAGTGAGCATGTTACTGTCAGCGTCCCCTTTATCGTAGATCTAGTACTAATCAAGACTATATCTAGATATTTTGCCAACAGAATTAATGTTCATAATTAGTGTTATTATCAAGTGTATTGTAATTGTGAAGATCTTTAGTAGATCTAGAGATCTAGATCTAGATATCGATCTAGATCTAGATATCGATCTAGATCTAGATCCCATCCCATCTTTAAAAAACAACAACCCAACAATACAAATACAAAAACATTGTAACATTGCCAATTATGACTTATTGTTGGCAATAAAAATGTACAAGACTATTTCACTATATTTCTTCTTCGAAGAAAGTTTTAAAATACTAATGCAAGGTGTCTTCCAAGCCCTACCACTAGCATCAGCGTGCATAGCAACGCGAAGCCTCGCTGTGCGGCGCAGCCAAAGGTGCCCTCAACTGGCCGCCATGTTTTAGTTTCAATCCCTCACAGCGAATCGGCGTTCGCGAAGAGGGAGTTCCGCTTCTATAAGTGTAGAATTCTGTGTCGCGAACAGACATATTTTAGCCGATTTGCACGTGAAAATTTATCGCCGACCGAGCCGCACAGAGGGACAGTGGTCGAGTGCGCGCAAATTTTAATAGGCCCACACTTACTGCCGAGGGTTAGATTCTTGGAAGGCAAGTGCTGATCCTTTGTTTCGGAATGCCGATAAGCCAATACTCTCTCTCTCTCTCTCTCTCTCTCTCTCTCTCTCTCTCTCTCTCTCTCTCTCTCTCTCTCTCTCTTAAACTCATAGAGATGATAGGATGATAGGATGAAGCGGCAAGTACATAACATACAGAATTTCGGGGTGTATGGGTTTCGCAAGGGAAATTTGGAAGCACTCTCCGCATCCCTCGCAAATCTGGTAGTTTTGACACCTTTATCGGTATGACGGTAGAACAGGTCCAAAATCAGTAACTACCGGAAAAACGGGAGATTTAGGTAGCCCTGTTACAGAAGTCTTGTCATAGAAAGCGAGCTGGACAGTAGTCACACTGTGTACCATTTTAAAAAACTGGGGGCTTAGAAAAACTGTCAGATAGAAGCGTAATTTTTGATTATATCTGATGTCGATAACGACTCTACTGTAGCTAATTTTGTTGTGATGTATACAATTATAGGTTTATTGGGTTTATTTTTATTTATTTCATTTATTAGTATTTTAGCTAAAAGGCCTAGACGGTAAAAGCACCTCTTTTGGTAAGACCCGGTATGCCTTCGACATATCATGCAAAAAAGGATAGCCTTTATTTCCGCATGTCATGAATATAACGACTGCCTAACAAGAAAGGGAATCAACTACTCACTTACTTACTTACTTACGTACTTACTCACTTACATACTTACTTAATAATAATAGATAGCATTTGTATCGCAAATCCCCGCTTAACAGCAAGCTCTATACGCTTCACAATCTATATTACTGCCCCAGCAGACTTGAGAGCATTCTGAAATGAGCTCAACTTCCTGGGAAGCATAAAGTGCAAGCTGCCATTTATGGGCGTTAAGGCACTAACATACTGACAAGACCTTTCGCTGTAAATAGCCGGATACCCATTTCCACCTGGGTGAAGAGAGGGAAATTCGTGTAAAGTGCCTTTCCCAAAGACGCTTTCCCAAGCTCGAAGCCCCGAACACGCAACCTCACGATTATGAGGCATTTAATAATAGTAGCAGAACCACCAGCACTACCCCAAATGGCCCTCTGTAGCCATCGCCAGTTGGTCGGCGGCTGCTTATTGAGTATTCGCAGCTAACCCTCATATCTGGAAGCCGTCCACTATCCTCCACCCGGGACGCGCTGGGTTGTGGGTGGTCGCCCCAGTTTTGCCCACGATACATGACTTATCGTCATTCGGTGCCTTGCCGACTGGCATGGGCGATCATGGACCTCCACTTCACTCTGTCTTGCGTTTCAGCAATGGTGTCTGTTGTTCTTGCTCCTCCTAGCCATGTTGTCATCTTGTCCAGTATCTTTTCCCTCTGTCTGCCTCTGCCTCTCTTTCCATCAAACTTGCCTGTTGTTATAATATTCTCCAATGCTTCTTTCCGCATTGTGTGTCCGAAGAAATTTGCCTGTCGCTTTCGTATATTCGTCATAAGCTGTCTTCAGCAATTTGCTTAAACCGAGACTTCTTCATTTGTTTTTCTAGCTGTCCATGGGATACGTAGTATGCGTCTTATGAACTATAACTCTGTCGCGACAACTGTTCTTTCCGGCTGTTTATTGATTGTCCATGCTACGCACTCGTATAGAAGGATTGGCTCGATGTAACTTCTCAGCACTCTTTTTCTTGTTTCCAGTGACAGATTGGTGTTTGTGAGTATCTGTTTCATTTTGTGGAAGGTTGCTTTTGCCTGGAAAATGCGGCTTTTAATTTCCGTGTCACATCTCACATCTGATGATATAATGGTCCCTAAATATTTAAAATGTTGTACTTGCTTGAGGGTGGTATAACTGATTTTGATATTGCATGTTGGGGTTAGAGTTTTTCTGCTTATCACCATTGTTTCGGTTTTTATGATGATTAGGCTTAAGCCCATATTGTCACTCTCTTGTACGATGACATTTAATAGATTCTGTAGGAGTTCTTCATCTTTTGCTATTAGGACTGTGTATTCTGCATATCTTAGATTGTTTATATTATGTCCCCCTATCGAGATACCTGGCATTTCTTCTATGTGTTTCATGACATTTTCACTATACAGGGAGAACAAGTCTGGAGAAAGTACACATCCCTGTCTGACTCCTTTTAAAATCTGTATGTATTCCCTGATGTCGTTTTCTATTCTCATTGCAGCAGTTTGATCCCAGTACATGTTCTTGATAATCCTTAAGTCCTTCCCGTCAATATTGAGGACTTCCAGCATGTCGATGATCTTGTCGTGCCTAACTTTGTCGAATGCCTTGGTATAGTCTATAAAACATAAATGAAGATCTTTCTGAACTTCTAGGGCACGTTCTATTGTTGTTCTGATGACATATCTGGGAGATACATGACTACTCGGTACTAAATTACCATTATCACAGCGCCAAGAACCTACAAACCAAAGCTTGGTGCGCGGCAGTGTAATAAAGATACAAGTATTGACCTGAAACGTTCTAATGCTGCATTGTCCACTGAACCCATTTTTGGGTATCGTCCTAATAGTTGGATGCTCTCAAAAATAGTCACAACAAGCATAAGATGCTCTTTTCCGAGTTCTAAGTCACCACAGGGTGGGGATTACTAATACCGTGCTATTTTGTAAGAGAGATTTAATGCCGGGGTGACTAAGACCAACCCCTAAAACACCTAATATCAATAGAAATAGCAGATTGTACCCCTTGAAAACTATGCATTTAATTTGACGAACACTAAAACGAAAACTATTAGTTAACAATGATTTATATTGGACTGACACTAATAGCTCGTACAAAAGGTGATCTTAATCACCCGGGTCCACGGGCTTAGAAATATCTAGCTCCAAATCAGGACACGCAACACCAAAAAGAAGAAAAAAAGAAAGAAAAGAAAACGTTTCTAAATCTGAAATCATCATCTAATGGGTGCACCCATTCCATTCCTCTTTTCTTCTTCTTCTATTAAGTTTTCTCAGCGACCTAGACAAGCAAGGCCAATATTTTTCTGATCATGTTTAGCTGAAACTGACAGGGAAAAAAATGCCACTTGACGTTGCATTGCTCGTATCGCCCGAATTTCGCCTCGTTCTCGATGTGGACATCTGAAGTTTTCGCCTCGCCCCGCCTCGCTCCGCATGGCCTCACCGGCAGTGTGGCCGTACCCAAATTCATTCCTTTCTTTACCACTTTAGAGCCTGGCTGGAAAACAGCTGTACCGGATGGGGTTGATCAAATACCTGTCAGAATTGAGGTGGAGGGTCTGTCTGGCAGTGCTCCGATAGACGCTTCCCATGGACCCACGCCCACTCTATCCCCCGGAAAGACGAGACACTTTCATCACATTTACGACTTTATCAACTTCCAACCTGTGGTCACAGACGACACTGTATTCCAGGTAAATGTCTCTTGCCAGTTGTTGTTTTTTAAACCGCGTAGTACTGGGTGTTTTTTTTGTTGCTGTCTTTTTTAGGGGTGGGGATGGGGGTGGGGGTGTTGTACCCAGTATCTCCGTCTGTCAATCCTAATTTGTAATTCAGTCTGTGTCCAAGGAGGTTTAAAATATCTTTCTTTCACAATTAGGTCACATCATATGTGCCAAAGATTAGAAGTGTTAAAAGAGAGAACCCCCACTCTTTTTATTGTTTTTCATCCCAATCTGACGCCAGAGTCAGTGTTCTAAGGCAATACTTTTGCCACCTTTAAGATGGTACAAATTGTAGTACTGTCCACCTGTGTATTTCCAAGCAGTGCATTAGATAACTGTCACTACCTAGGTAATCCTCACTGCCCACCATATTTTTTACCAAAACGCCCACTAATGGGTCATGTCGCCCACGTTGGCAAGCGCTTTTAACGACGGTCTTTGCCACGTGGTTGGCACAAAAAAGGATCGAATACTATAGGCGGAATAAAACGTCTAGTCAGAAAAGGGTTTATTTCTTTAGCGGGGGTGGGGGGTTAAAACATTAACAAATGGATTGCTTTACCTCGATGTTGTTTTTGATGACTCGTTTCCCTTTTGGTGAGTCTTTAGATCCTAAACAACATTTACAATCTTTGGCACTCCTTTTAGCTACTAGGTCTCTCCCCACCCCCTTTTTTCGGGAATGTAAATTTTTTTTTGATGAGAGAGGAAAGAAAGAAACAGAATTTTTGAAAGGAGAGGTGCCAACCCCACGTAACAGACATCTTACTTACTTAATTGCTTTACTAAATCAGCCGCTTCTACCGTGAGGTATCGGGGGGGGGGGGGGGGGGGGGGGAAAGAGGCGTCGCATCTTTGCCATTTGGAAATCGTGGTGTAATATTAGCATTTTATTTTCGGACAGGGCAGGATACTCTTTATATCCACAAACTGGATAGCCGAATTAAGGCTTACCTTTTGGTCTTCAGCCTGAGCATCTGGTGTTGGCAGTTCAAAGCGCAGGCTGTTCGGGAGGCATCCTCGTAAGATCATCTACTGCTGTCCAATGGGTTGTATGACTTGTGTAGTTCCTGCAAATTCTTTGATGACCTCGTTCAGGTTCATTTTTCTCTTCTCTGAATCAGTGCAACAATATAATGTTTGGTTTCCTCAGATTCCAGACGGTGTTGCATGTGCTAACAGGGTCAACACAAAGCCGCTACCCAAATTCTCGCGCTATTTCAGCTACAGAGCCGAGATTGTGCATCCCGCTGCCAAGTTAGTCACACACTATGCGGTAAGAATACAATATTATTGTTACATTCGTGCAATATTCTACCACTGCTGCTGCTGTTGTTGGATTTTATGATAGATTTAAAATCAGAGGTAAAATAAAGAGTTTACAAAGTGTCCACCCAAAAATAATAATTTAAAAAAATTAAATGACCAATCTATAGTCCGGACAACACCAAATGGACAACTTGTCGACCTCATTACACCGAATCAAAGAGGTGAATCTCTCAAATTTTTTGCATGCGCCTCTGATTTCTAAAAGACCTAAAAAATCTCTATTTTCGTGGCAATGCGACAAAAATGAAGAGGCGTTGTCCTTGTAAAAATGAAATGGTGAAATGGTATAGGTTTAACGCCCCAATCAACACTATTAGGTTATTTGAGGGGCGGGACCCCCTAGTTTAACGTCCGTCTCCGATAGGACCGAGCCAGGTGGGAAGTTCGTGTAAAGTGCCTTTCCCAAGGACACAACTTCGGATGTCTATATAATCATTAGTAATTAATTGCTCATTAAACTAAAGACCGCACACTTTTTATAGCTAGCACGGTACAATGCTATAAATATACCGGGTGTCGTTGCAGCAGGTTGAGGGCAATAACAAGTTTGTGCGTCATCATTATTAATATCATGATTATTTTTTTTAAAAAAATTTATTAGTATTATTTTTCTTTACAAAGCAACAATGTAGCTTTCAGCGTGAGAGTGAGTCTTGTCTTGCAGCACGCGGCATAGATCTAGTTTTAATGTACAGATAGAGTGGGCGCCGACGCCTTAGGATCCGTGTCAATTGGAATGGAAATGACCAGGTTTTGTTTACCGGGAGGAGGAAAATTTGACTTTGTTTCCGCCGGCTGTGCCCGCCAGTTCGAAAACGAAACGTCTTGCCTGTTGGCCAACTGGCATTCTTATTCCCCGCATGTGTACGCTTGACCACTGTCGAAGTGTTCTGTTTTTATAAATGAATCGGTCACAATTTGTTTTCGATGGCACCACGAATAAAGAGGCATGTTATTAAGTGTTCAAAGTAGCCACAACCGACAGCACGGACAGCATCAAACCGATATGAGAATTCCTCCCAAACTCATCTCAGAATGCCTCAGACCATAGTGTTGATTGTAGCTGTTAGTCGATCTTTCATGCCATCGTTGCTGGAAGTTGTGGAACATAAACTTTGTATTTAACACACCCCCACGAACAAAATCCCACACAGTGAAGTCTGAGGATCTGTCAGGCCAAACGCAGTGCGAGATCTTTAGCAGCTCAGCTGTTCTTCGTCCAATCCACCGTTGAGGCGCATTTTCATTCAGATAAGCTCGAACCCAGAGATACCAATGGGGCAGTGCTCCGTCTTGTTGAAAAATGAAGTCATTCCAATCTGTGTGCAGTAAAGTGAAAAGCTACTTCTTGTGGGAATATGTTAAAGACAAAGCTTATGTTCCACCACTTTCAGCAAATACCAATGACAAGAAAGATCGAAAAACATCTACAATCAACACAGCGGACCAAGACATTCTGAGGCGCGTTTAGGAGGCATTCTCCTTTAGGCTTGATGTTGTCTGCGCTGTCTGTGGGGGCTTCATTGAGCCCTTGTAAAACATGAAGTAAAAACTTGAAGGTATGTACAATTCATATGTCCAAGCTGGAGTTTCCCATTTTTTTTCATTTTTGAAATGTCGTGTTATGCTTTTGTCGTATTCTCTTTTAATCACCCTGTATACTATATATTTGGAAGGCTCTCTCCCTCAGAAGGACTCTACATTTGTCAGAGGTTCCACCTTTTCAATAACCTCATATTATAGAAACAGACGTTAAATATACACCAATAAGCTAAAAGTGAAGACTTCTAACATTTCCAGGTGTGGTATGATGAAGACAGCAAGCTTATGAGAGAAGACAAGCGCTACCTGAGCCCTGTCCCCCCTGTGTACTCGAAAAACCCCCTCACAGAGATCCACGATTTTGAAACAGGTACTTTTCAATTTAACAATTTTTCAATACTACAATTTTATCTGACGAATTTGTAGAATGTGATAAACGACGTGATTTAAGTTCCTCTGAAAAGCATACGTCATCACCACGCAAGATACCCGGAAACAGCTTTTATGTTTGTATAACGTTTTATTAGTTGAATGGCTTACTGTATCAATATCCAATAATATTTATCAATTTGTTCAATGCGGTAGCTATAATTTGGCCTTTGATGATTTCGTTTGGAAGGTGTATCCAAGGTCAGATCAATGTTATGATCGCAAAAACGTTTACTGCGTTATTTTTATTTGAAACTGTACCAGGTCCTTTGATTTTAGGTACTCTATCTTGAATGTTTATCGTGTCATTTTAGGGGTTCGCTATATCCAAGACCACCTTCTGGGCAACTGCAGTGCTCATCCACTGAATTTGCAAGACCCTGACGCACAAGTGGAACAAGCGAGATATAAGCTTAACAACTCGTTGGTCGTTGACATGAGAGACCCAGCTAGCTTCTTTCACTTCAACGACAACTATGTGTACTCTGGTACTGTAAGTCGTCACTAACAGGTTTGCAAGCTTGTGAGCGATTAACTTGGTAGCATATTCGTTACAACAATCGAATAATCTGCTCCCATCTTTACTCAGTTCATTGATCCATTCGTTCATTTATCATTCCGTACACCCATCTCCCCTACTGCTGAAATATTGATCCATATATCCGTCCTAACAAGTTACGTCAGTCAATATTATTTTATACTAATTTGAACGTCACAAACAATTAAACAAACAAACAAACAAACAAACCAGCAAGCCAACAAAAAACAAACAAACTGTGACTCCTTTTAAACAAACAAATAAGCATCAATAGAAGCTACAGAAACAGCAACAACAACAATAACAACAACAACAATAATAAAGGTAATGAACCATGTTCTTACTCCACTTCCTCTTTTGCCATTTTGATTGCAACCATACATTTCAAAGGACTAACTTTTCTTACTCTTCTAGGATTTTGAGCCCTTTTAAAGTTGGCATTCTGAACTTGTGTTGATCTGATTCTGAGTAGTTTTTATGGCCCTGAACCCATATTATTTTTGGGGCGGTCCGATATATGTTCATTAAGGCTATTAAATGGGGCATTTTATGCGTGTTATTTTGAGTAAATACATTGCTTTGCAACAGATGGAAAACTTTCACTTGCCATCTGCATGAACAGTTCTAATGTGAGGTGCACCGTCAGCTTAGTTAGTACTAACCAGACAACGGAGTAGATGGCACTGGTTCAAATCCCCTAGATGTGTAATTCGTTTTGGTATCAGATGTTATAATGGTATCCTGGACATTTTGTACGATATAATATTGATACAATGATAGGTTGTCATTATTTTTGTCACGCCAGCGAGCTCATGTATATATATATACTCGTGAGCAAAAGAAACGCAAGATCCCGTTTGCCTTTGTGATGGGGATCATGTTCGTTTTCCATTATTTACAAAACGGGGGGAATTTAAACACAAACTGTTTACTGGCGTTATGAATGGATACGTGGGACATCACTGTGAATGTTACATTTTATCGCAATACATGTTCAACTTCCTGTAAATGCGCCAAACTGCCCAGTAGTGGCTATGGGCACTATTAGATCGGATAACCGCAGTAGATCTCCAGCACAAGGAAGCCACTAGGTTGTTGGTAAATCGTTGCGGAATCTGCCTCCACATCTCCTGGATGGCCACATGCAGTTCCTGCGAGGTTCTCGGCCTTGGTTGTCTCCCCTCGGGGCGTATTTTAATTTCGTCCTAAAATACTTAATTCGGCTTAAATCCGTGCTAAGGGCAGGGTGAGGCTGTTGAATGATGCCATAGTGTTGGAGGAAATCCTATGAATACGGGAAGTGTTCACACAAGCATTATCTGGCTGGAACCGGAAGTTAAAATTTTGTCGGTGAAGAGGGGCCTAAGAACTTCTGCAATGCAGCAAGCAGCATTGATACCTTGACCTCGACCTTGGCCTTGATTTAGGAACATCATTGGTCCTGCTTTGTGGTTCCTCATGATTCCACTCCAGATCATGACACGATGTCCTCCCCAGCGATTCCTCTTTATGACACAGCTATCACAATTACGTTTGCCTCCCTTTTGATAAACTCTGAGGCCCCTGTTTGTTGTATCTATGGTGAACAGGCATTCGTCCGAAAATGAGAACTGAAGACCAGTCTCCCAGACGCTTGTTTACATGGTGGGGGGTCCAGTTAGGACCCCCTTGGTGATGGTGTGCGGTCAAGACTGGACCATGGTTAGGTCGACGGCGTCAAAGGCCTACCTGATGCAATCATCGGTTCACTTTGTGTCCACTTTTGGCTCTTCCGTGGGTATTCCCTACCAAACCTAACGTTTTTGTAGCTGTCTGAAGTAGATTTGAACGATACATCCAGACAATGTGTCTGTATGCACGTGCACCTGCCACTCTGGGTCAACCTGACCTTTTTCGGTCTGCCGTAGAGTTTGCGAGCTGAAAACGGATTATCAGTCTGTGGATAGTCGAGATGCGAACACTAAAATGAGTGACGACCACAATTGGCCTTTCCCCAACCTCCAAACGACATATTGCTCTTTCTTTTTGTATAGCCCTTAAACACGCACTGTCGTTGCAAATGCAGGCGAAACGGCCGAATAGGTTTTGTACCACAACTTTAAAAGCCGAGCTCAGGAGAATACTTTTCACCCCTTTTTCACTCATTTACACCGTGTTTCGAAGGTACCACGTGGCTTTTCCCATGCTTCAATGAAGGGGCAATAACTCTAGTTTCCGGTGACAAACAAGGCAGGCAACTTTTGATTTCTAAAGAACATATGGCATACTATCGATGGTGTAAATTTCAGTCTTCTACCATTAATGGTTATTTAGTTATGGCCCAAATAGTTTTTTTTTGCGTTTCTTTTGCTCGCTAGTATGCGTGTGTGTATATATATACTTACTTTACTTTTTACTTTTTAAACTTTTTTCTTCCGCTTGTACCCTGGGGTGTCGCGGGGAGACACAGGTGTCTGTCTGCAGCAAGTCGTGTGGCCTGTAGGAGGGACATCCCATGATCTTTAAGGGTGTCTGCCACAGATTCACTCCATCGTCACCTTGGTCTTCCTCTGGCTCTCCATCCAGAATATTTAATGTTGTATGCTCTCAGAGCTGGATGGTTTGAGGGCATCCGCGTGAGGTGTCCGAACCACTTGACCCTTTGTTTTTCAATGTGTGGTAGGACTGGTGTTGCTCCCACGGTGTCCCTAATGACTTCATTTTTAATTTTGTCTCTTCTTGTTTTTATTATATTATATTGTTTTTGTTTTATTTTTTGTTTTTTTGTTTGTTTTTCTTTTAAAAAAATAATATGTATATATCAATGTGTATGGATATTGTATTTTTATTGCCAGAAACGCTCAAGAGGACTATTGTGCGACGTGTTCAGTGCTATTATCCCAAACTTTCCAGTTGGAGAAACTATTGTCAACGCAACATTTGAATACTACTTTCTCTCAGTGAGTGTCAAAAGTGTCTAAAAACAACTAAAGCGTGGATCATAAAGTCATTGTCGTTATTATCATCCTTTTCTGCCTGTTTTCCCCGTACTCTCCATGTTCTGTTCCTCCTACCTCACTCCTTTGTTGTCATAGTCATTGCCTCCATTCTCCTCGTCGCCATCCACTCTCCTCGAACTCTTTGTCGTCGTCGTCGTCGGAGTGGTTGTCATCATCATCATCCAAGCTCACTCACTCTCTCTCTCTCTCTCTCTCTATCTCTCCCTCTCTCTCTCTCTCCCTCTCTCTTTCTCTCTCTCTCTCTCTCTCTCTCTCTCTCTCTCTCTCTCTCTCTCCACCCGCCCCTTCCTCCAATCCTTTTGGACATAAGAAAATAATCATCATACACACGTGATGTATTATGTCAGATTTCGGGGGGGGGGGGGGGGGGGGTCAATGATACGTCCGTGTCAGTCTGAGAATGCCAAGAATACTCCTCAGACTGACAGTTTACTCCGCCGCTTTCCCATACAATTTAACCGTATATTATTGTCATTGAAAAGCTTCTGAGTCTGAGAGTTAGTCATTATATCGCAGGATGGGTCCAGCAATTTTTGACTTGCAGACCCCATATTATGTTAAGCTGAACAACACCAAATCTGACCCAACCCTTTGTAACATCGGCGGTCCTCAGGAGTGCGTTTGTCACCAGGTTTGTTGTTCAATACATACCAACGATCGTAGAAGTAAATATAAAGTAACACGCTTAATTAATTTCGCAGATGAATCCGCTATTATTGGGTTAATAAACCTTGATGTAAAAAAGTATTTCGAAAAAATGTGTTTAAATGGCGCGATTCAAATTTTCAAGAAGTGAACGTCTCAAAAACAAAGGAAAGGATTTTTTATTTTAGAAGAAAAAAACCCAGCTATCCCACCACTCGTAATTGAACAAGAAACAATTAAAATCACGGATTCACACAAATATGTTGATCTCACAATCGACAAAAGTTCTACTTTGCAAAATCACGTAAACATGCCGTTAAAAAAGTAAATCAGAGGCTGTACTTTCTGAGGAAACTTAGGTACTTCAATCTGAATCCATCCATCCTTCAGATATTCTACACCACCACAATTGAAAATTTGATAAATTTTGGTATCTCTTGCTATGTTTGCAATTTGGAATGACAGCACATCATAAAAATAAACAAGTTGATCAGAAAGGCATCAAGAACAATTGGTAGATACCTAAGTAACTTTGAATATCTGCTCAAAGGAAACGTTCTAAAAAGGCGGAAATAATACCAAGTGACCATAGCCATCCACTGACATCCGGGGTGTATTAAGAACGGAACACCGGTAGACTGGTTTCTAAAGTTTTGTGAAGCCAAAGACAGAACTTCATCAGGCCTCGTGTTAACCCTAAAAGAAGCTATAGAACCATTCAGCGTCGAGGAGAAGCTGATCGTTCAAACCTACAAGGCAACAAGATGGGCATTACATGAGCGGAGGAGTCTCTGATGTACAGACTCAGAGGCGCCAATTTTCCCTTATGCTGTCTTTGTTCATTGCCATGAGCACCAGCTGAATCTTGTTTTAAAGCTAGCTTGTTTTGGCCAGACTGCAGGATACTTTTTGCTAACGTTACAGGCTTTTCGACAGTTTTGCCCACTCTGTAGAGAGCATCAACGTGCTAAGACGCGTTCGTCACCGGAATATTCCACGACCGTCAGAAGCAAGGTGAAATTTTCAGTCTCAACCTATTAGCACAGTCTTCCAAAGGAGAGATCCACATCTGTTTTGAAGAAATTCAGTCTGAGCTCTGGGGCGATAATACTGTCCACGAAGCGTGTGGTCACTTGAATGTATTAAAGAACGATGCGTTTCTCTTCATTTTGCACTAAAACAAAGTGTTCACGCACGTATGGGATCCCCCAACACAGACGTACAACTTCCATAACAGCCCAACAAGCTATGGAAACGCTTAAAGCAGCCGCCGAGGACACTAGAAAGAGTATAAGTGTAAAAGTGTTCCATCAACAAGTCAAATCACAGAGGAACACCCTTCCTAGAGACGCAGACATCACAACACCAATAAAATTGCTGCAAAGGAGGCCTGCGACACAATAGTTAATCAAATTTTGATAGTTTCTTGAAGCAAAATAAAATCAACACACTATCAATTGTCGACCCCTCTAAATCAAGGAATATCAAGAATCGTTTCTTACAGTTCTTTTGAATCGTATAGCAGAAAGCTACTTTGTTTTGCATAAAACCAAGTTACAAACAGAATTAGAAATATTATATTGCAATGAAAGTTTAAGTCTGCTCAGAATTGTACCACCCAAGACCTGTATTCAACCCTTAAGGACTAGTAATACAAATTTGACACCACATTTAAAGAAAAGTATGCAAAATCCTAGAAGTCGCACTGACGATATCATCAACGTCTGTCAAGGCCAAACGAAGTTTCATTAAACTGAAAAAAAAAAAAAAGACATTCTCTGTTCTACAATAGGACAAGAGAAACTGAATATTCTCACATTTGTGTCGATCCACAAGAACATCACTGACAGCATCCCCAACTTCGTCAGCAAAATAATGGACCTCTTTACTGCAACAAAAGAACGAAGGGTAGACTGATTGTTCAAGTAGATTTTCTCCCAACAGGTAGGGTGGAAAAAATTTATTGTGCACGCCCACTTTTCAGACCCACGAGCTAACTAAAGTGAGGTTACTGAACAAACAGTGCTACAAATGAAACACAGAGAGAGAGAGAGAGAGAGAGAGAGAGAGAGAGAGAGAGAGAGAGAGAGAGAGAGAGAGAGAGAGAGAGAGAGAGAGAGAAAGAAAGAGAGAGAGAGAAAGAGAGAGAGAGAGAAAGAGAGAGAGAGTGTGTGTGTGTGAGAGAGAGAGAGAGAGAGAGAGAGAGAGAGAGAGAGAGAGAGAGAGAGAGAGAGAATGTTTTAGGGAGCGGGTTGTTTCAATGCGTGAGACATGTATTTACTAACGTCCTGTCATGCTGTGCGTATAATATGTGAGAGCACCTAACTTTTGGAACACCCACTGCCATTGTAAACGACCAAGATAAATTCCCCCCGGCGAGATGAATTAAGATTATCCTTGTCATTGTCATACTCTTTTTGCAACAGGATGATGTCACTGACATGCCCACCTCAGGATTTAAGTATTCAGTGACCAACTACCCTGTGCAGCTGATCATATCTGCTCCTTCTGTGAGTTCGAATTTATTGTATTTCTGAGCATCTAGGTAATCATATTTTACCCTGTCTACGCCCCTGATTTATCCTAATCTTTCTCGTCCTTTATTTCATCTGTCTTGCCTCATCTTGTTTTGTTGTTTTGTTTTCTATTGCACAGCTTTCCCATCTCGGGTATGTATTGCTGATCACCTTTCTATCTTGTTTCTGCTTCTTTTGGCATTCCAGTTCGCTCCCTTCTGTTTTTGCTTGCCGTGTCTCATCTTTTTATTTGGCTTGCTTATTCTTCGTCAGCCTTGCCTTTGATGAATTTTGCCTTTTCTTGTCTTAAATTGAAAGCCTTTTATCTCGATATATTTGTTTTGCTCGTCTTTATCTCATCTTGTCTGGTTTTGTCTTGCTTTGTCGTGTTTTGTTATCTATTGTCTTGATTTTTTCTTTGTTCGGCGTCAAGTTGTCCGGTCTTGTCTCACCTTTTAATAGCGACATATTGGTTTGTCTTGTCTTGATTTGTTTTTCTTTTTTCTTGTCTTGTCCTGTTTTTCTTTTTTTGCTTCATTTTTATCCCTTTTCATCGTTTTCTTATTTTCTCTGTACTGTATTGTCTTGTCTTTTGTCTTGCCCAGTTTTATATGATCTTGTCTTGTCTTCCATGACAGGTCTGGTCTAAGTGAGGGAGAAATGAGAGATTGGGGAAAGGCAGGGGGGGGGGAGTTAACATACCTAAGGTAAGAGAAATCACAAATACTGAACAGCTATATTGTATCTGTGAATGATGGTTAGCGTAATCTTTTTTGTCTGATTTTTTTAGCGATAATAAGCGCATTGAAGCTAAGTGGCATGTAACATTCAGTCCTCATGAAAACAAAGAAAATAAATACTTGCAGAGGTGACAAACTCTTACATTTTTATCTTCAATATTATTCCCAGATGTTCTTCGAAAACATTTACAACTTTTATGAATTCACTGAAGAACACCCACCCCTCTCTGTCTTCGATATTTCGGCATGCTCCGCTCCAAAAAGCAGGATAGATTTCAAAGTAACATTTCCAGGTAAGTTCTTTGCAACCACAAACGGTCAATTGAATGACTTCTAAATCATTACTTTCTGGCTTTAGGGCAAGCGCTGGCCGGATTCTGAGTATCTTGCAGGAGGAAGCTCAGTAAAATAGGTTGGAATACTCACGATCATCGTGTTTTCTGTGTCATGTGCGACATATTTTTCCATGCCATGCGCCAAGCATGCTACAAAGTTAATGTTCCTTTGTCCAGGGGTCATACTAATTTCCCAGCCGTCTTTAAAATCTCATGTGCGCGTCCTCATATCTCTGATTACAAAGCAATTCTTTCAGTTGAGACAACAAAAAGTCACAAGGGAGAAAAGGGTGTAGATGCCACGTCTAGTTACCGAGAGGTTTAGAGACCGGTCAGGATTTTGGGACACAGGTGCGCTGTTGTGGTGGAAGATGGCGCCAAATTCCAGCTAACTGGGCCGTTTTTTTTTTCTCTTTTTTTAAACGAACGGCTGACGTTTTATTACTGACTTGTAGTATCCATCGTACCTTTGGACTTGCTAACACAATTTTATGTTTGTTTTGTTGTACAATTTGTATAACTGATCCCAACAGTGTCAGGGTTGGACAAATGATGTGAACGACATACGTGTCCTGTCTTTATCAATGATCAAAATAGAAGTAAATATTTTTCCAAGGTTCTTGCAATCTTCCATTGTTTCACGAGAAGCAAGAAGAAAATGTGAGCTGGTGAAGTGACTGGTGACACACCAAACTAGAATGATGCATTCGCATCATAATTTGACAAGGAGTACAAATATAATATCACTATCAGGTTAATAATTTCAATAAAAATGTGTTTTAATAAATGGCCTGGCTGAACTTTCTCAGCTTGACAAGATGTTGTCTTACTGTAAAAAATGTGAAAATGGTATAGGTTTAACACCCCCCCCCCCCCCAATCAAAACTATTGAGGCGGACCAAATGGGACGTTCGTGTAAAATGCCCTTTCCAAAGATACAAGTCGGACCAGGCAGACTTTTATTGTTTTATTTTGCCATCTATTTCCCGTGTTAGGATCTCTGATACCAACCACCATTGAGCAGTGGCATGATACAGTGCCCATGCAACTCGCCCAGGTTGCGCAAATCTCACCGATCCGGATAGGCAATGTGAGGATCACCTCCGACCCGCACAACGTGTTTATGTGGGCTTCTCTCCTCTCCACAGCCACAGCAGGTCAGTTTACGCATTTATCGAAATAATTGTGGTTATTTAGAACTTGGAAAGCTTTAATCATAAGCAAAAGGGCATTGCCACAGAAATGAAAGGTACAGCATTTTAAATAACAATCGCGACAACGACAACAGCAACGATAATGAAAAGAATTCTGAATAGCAATAAACAAATAATCATGAAAACAACAGAAACAACAACAACAATCAACGATAACCTCCGAATTTTAGGCCTACTATCTATGTTTCTGCAAAACAATCCAAGTTCATAAAGGCCCCGTTAGGGATTCGCATCAGAACCATTCGCTTGGTAGTCTAGCATTATATCAACTGAACAAAAGATGCTGATAACAAAGAATACAAACCAAATTTGACATACTGGTTAAAGTGCTAAATGCTTTGTAAATTATACTTTGCAAGTCTCACTGAGAAGTGTCAGCTGCGGCATATGATTGTGAGTCTCCACTGACACATGGTTTACGAGCACAGCATTTTCTAACGTACTGTGTTAGCTCCAGATTTGACTCAACCATTTTCAAAAGTCTTGATCCAGTTCCTAAACACTTTTATAACAGAGGGATTATATTAGTGTGGTCAACGACGAAAAAGACTTAGCAAAGAAATTTATAATTCCTCTACCCCGACGGGTTGAATCCAAATGGAGCAAGGATGTCTACGACAATTCAATTCCTTCACAGCTGCCTTGGCATCTTTCCGGCCAACTTGGGAGCTTCCATTAGGTGCACAAAGTGAAAGACTCCATCAAAGTATCTGGAGAACAGTATGACTGATGTTGGATGCTCAGAAAAGATATTGGCTGAAATAAGTGTAAAGTACAAAGGCACCTGTGAAGTAGCCTATGCCTCGGTTTAGCTATCAAATTTTCATTAAAAAAACATTTTAAAGATGTTACATAATGAACGGTACTTATCAGAATACATTATTGAATTTTTGATACAGATGTGCGAGTGAGATTTTAGGGGTTTATGTTAAAATGAATCAAAGAGGGGGGAAATGCGACGTATTGCATTGAAAATCCGGATCTAGTAGAGAAAATCTGACACCAGATTCGGATTCTGCGACTCAAATTCCATATAAATATCGCATTTGCCTGCCTGTCCAAGCATTTTCAAAATGTTGTCGACCAGACCAGTGTTATTTGAGTCCTCGATAAACCTCGAGAAAAACATCAGTTCCCTGTTGTAGTTCAGGCCCAGTTTTTAGCATGACACTGATGAATCAGCCCATTTACAATTACAATTCTGCTGTGCATAAAAGCATGGTTAACGTCCACCCTTTGGGAATGGCCTAAAGACACTTCAGTCAGTAGCACTGCCCCGGGGGGGGGAGTTAGACTCAAATTCTGAATACGAGTACAAATAGTCGCATTATAAAGCAGTTGAATGAATGTAAAACCATAGACTTACGTCCTTGCCAAAAATAAAGAAAGAATATTTGGTTAAACTTCTGTTAAGAAAATAATTTTTATTTATGATAATTCCCAAGGAACAAGTGCTCTCATAACCTTAGTATGCCGGTTACAACTTGATATACACAGACATCATACATATTAATATCACAACAGTGGAGCTTCAAAAGAAAAATTAGTAAAGAGAATCGTTTTGATCAGGCCATCTGACGCTGTGATGACATATTACATCAAATATCTAACAATCCGATGTTTTCTTTCTCAAAGATACTGGCTTGATACTGGGGTAAAAAGTAGTACAGAGACCAACCATAAACAAACATCGTTGTTCCAATATCATTACTGGTAGATGTTTCTTGTCATAGTTCTGCACACAGGAATCCCAAAGTGATCATCAAACTTCCACAGTGCTCGCAAAATATTCATTTTGTTGTTGTAATTGTACATGATTATGAAAATAAAACACATGACTTTATTCATGGCATTGAACCAGACATGAAGTAGGTCCTAATCTTTGATCTCTTTGACATGTTTCTGGCTAAGGCTCATATAGTTTCTTTTTCTGAACAGCCCAGTTCGAGCTCCTGCCAAACGCAATTTTGGAGCGAAAGGATGACCTGACTTTCAAAAATATCCCACGCCCAGATGAATGCGCCCAGCTATGTGTGGAAAACACAGGCTTTTTGTGCAAGTCTTTTGACTTGTGCAAGCAGGACGGCTTCGCTTGCAGGTATAGTAACAGGGGGAAAGGAAACGAATCCCCCCCTCCGACCCCCACCCGTGTATAGGAAGAGTTTTTAGGTCTTAAGGAGCAGAAAACAACGGGCCGTAGGCTAATCACCTTGTGTGCGTGAAGTTTATTCTGTAGTTCCATCCTAATCTAATTGAATATGGACGTTTTCAATTCTTTTCTGTTATGTGTGCATTGTATACTAGGGTGTTGTGCTTTTTTGTTTGAACAAAAAGGTGTTGTGAAGTTCTCTAAGAGCCGCAGCTTCCATTTGGTGTACGACCCTGACAACTGAAGTATTATATTAGAATATTGGTGTCTCTCATTGTCACTAATTTATGGTCTGACTCTAATGTTCATTACTGATGTTGTTGCTTGAATTTTTTTTAAATGAATATAATTTCGCCAGTAGAGATAACTTTCTTCCATTGGATATCTCTATAAGTATCATGAGCATCACACTTGCAACAACAGCAACAGCAGAAGCAACAGAAACAATCACAACAACAACAACAACAACAACAACAACAACAACAACAACAACAACAACAACAACATCAACAGCAACAATAAATCTAGGACAACAACGAGAACCAATTCAACAACAGCAACAACGGAACAATGCTAACCGCAACAAAAACAACTTGCATCAAGTCTTGCAGCTATTGAGAAGTGACTCTTCTATTTTCACAGGCTGAACATAAACCACGTAGCAGATGGAACTACGATGAACAATTCCACTTACTGCGATCATTTCTCACGTGAGTTGCAACCACAACCGTAACTACATTCTATTGTAAGGTCCAGCTGCTGAGATACAGTTGGTTAAGTAAGTAAGGTTAATCAGTGTTTAAGGCCATTGGCCCTCATCACATCATATACAGACTTCAACATAAGTTAAGGACCACTTGCAAACACTCTGAGTGGTCTCCTTGGATCGACCTGCACGTGGGCGTTCTTAAACTGATCCAGTGGCTTGATGGGGCTGCCTTAAGCGGACAATGACAAAGTGTGACACTGCAAGCCTTCTGGCAACTTATTGGGCTCCAACTCTATCCTGCAGCCATGCCATATTCTGGCACGATCAAAGTCTCTCAGCTTTTGTCTCGGTGACATGTTGATGCGATACTGGATTTTGCGCAAACGGCGGCTTGTATTGCCACCAACGTGAGCACAGATCGAGCCCATACGTCCGTTTATGACGTGCACCAGAAATTTTAACTGAGGAATGTCCGAGGCGTTGCACAGGAGTCGATAAACAACAGCAAATTTGACTAAAATTCCACAAGGGTTTCTATACTGCACGTGGTGTTTTTGCCCATTAAGGAAGCTTTGTTGTTTGTTTGTTTAGTATAGGGTTTTACGGCGCTCGCAACTGCATAAGGTCATATGAGCGCGCGGGGCACACCTAATACTTTTTCGTTGGTAGTAAATTTTGAATTTTGCCCGGGTGGCGGCCGAAGCCTACTCTTATCGATTTTTGACAACCAAGGGATCTTTAACGTGCACAACTTGCACACGGCCCTCCGAGATTTTTCGCCCTTGTCCGAGACGGCTAGGTGTAGATTTTTCCTACCAGAAGATCAGGGGTGTGGCAGAAAGACAGCAGTTAGGAGGAGCCAAGGAGTAGCAGTAGAAAGGCTGCAGAAAGAGTCAGGAGCCCAGAGGAGGGGGCAAAGGAGGTGAGGGGGTGGGGACAGAAAGTGGAAATGAAAGCAGACAACAGAACATTGTTAGAGATCAGGAAAGGATGTGAAAGGAGACAACTTTAGAGAAGAAAATTTTTTGGTCGCTACCCGGAATCGAACCCGGGACCTTTGAATGAGAGGCCAACACCTTAACCTCTAGGCCACGAGAGCCCCCAAGGAAACTTTGCAGTACGCATAGGTAACCCATTAACACTTTCAGAACACAAAATTTTTTTTTTTATGAAACATTCCTTGTTGTCTTTAAAAAAAAAAACGGGCCTGTCTGTCAAGGTGGTCCTTAACTTATGTTAAAGTCTGTATATATAAATACCAAACATATAATATATATTATGATTATATATATATATACATATATATATATATATATATATATATATATATATATATATATATATATATATATATATATATATATATTTATTTATTTTATTTTTATTTTTTTTTATTTTTTTTTTCATATATTAAGTACAGTTTCCATAATGAAAAGGAACAGGTTGTGCATATCTCTTTTATCATTGGTCAAACATTCTGTCACTGAGCCGTGTTAGGCTGGGAGGAATTAATGATTTCCTTTGATGGACAAAATAAGTGCAGTAAAAAATAAAGTGAAATTCATCTTTAAATTCATGAGAGTCGCACCTCTCACGTAAAGGTGACTTTATTCATGTCCACCGATACAGATTGTTATTTAATGGAAGGCTGGGAGTTTTTGACAAGGCTATGACTATTCTGTTCTGTTCCAATACCTTAGGAGGTTGATGGTATACTCAGCTGTTTCTTGAAGCAGAATTGTATGAGAGAACAAAGTGTACTTGCGACAGACTTCTTCGTCTATCTTCGGCACATGACATCTATCTCGCTTATTAGTGTGGATCAAATGTTTCCAAATTTCACACACATAACAGTCATAATAAGGAGTCTTAAAATCGGCAATCAAATTTAAGGGGAAAAAATTGTTTCCATGGATACGGCAGCCATATCGGATTTTGGTGACGTGTTATACGCTCTTATTTTTCATGGAAATAAACTGGGGTTTTTTTTGCATGCATCTTGGCAAACAATAAAGCTACAAATCATTTTGATGAGTTTTTCCTTAACGTACTAAAACAATTTTAATGACATTTTTTCTGAGGTAGTATTTACGTTTGCAAAAAATGCGTGAAAATCCACACTCCAAACACGACCAACAAAAGTCTATTCCATATATCAAAAATTCATCATACAATTTTTAGTATTGCATCTTTTCTTCATTCTGTGAAAATTTGATGAGGATTGGAGGAAAAATGATGGAGTAATTTTTTAAAAGTATATTGAAAAACCACTTTTCGAGAAAACGGTCGATAAAGAAAAATGAAAGATTGACTTTTTATGAGGAAATGGTGGTGACAAACTTGCCCGGTATGGAAAGAAATAAGGGGGTTCCTATGCGATGAAATAGTTGTAAGAGAGGCTGAAGAAGCTAAACATTCCTACAACTTAAAATTCATAATTTTGAGCCGAATCGGGGCTTTCGGGGTGCCCCTCCCCCCAAACTAATGACGCATTGCAGGACATAAATTGGTTCTTCCCACTTCTCTTAGAACTTAACACTTGGGTATAGTTATGAACCAAAATGCCTTCTTGTTCGAGAAACAATCCGCTGAGCTTTACAAGCTCGATCTTCAAACGTTTGTCTCCAGCATAGATGCGATAATAATGAAATGCCCAAGTATCTATAAGAGGTTACTGTCTCTAAGATCTTAGCCTCCCAATACCATCTCTCAGATCTTTTGAGATAGCCACAATTTCTAAAAACAACAATCTTGCTTTTCTCTGCATTCACTTTTAACCCCCGTATATGACAGAAATCATAATGACAAGTTGCTTTTCTTTTGTAAACCTCTGATATTGTCGTCTAATAGACTTAGGTCATCGATCAGCGTACATTAAACATAAGATATCATCATCATCAATGGGCAACTGTATAGCATGGGTATTTGATTCTGAATTGTGTTTTTCGAATTGAGAAATAAGAAATAAATAAATTTTGGGCTTAGTATGCAGCCTTGTTTAACACCTCATGTAGATCTATATTGGAAGAATTCAGTGATATAATTCGTTTCCTCGTTAAAATCTTTGACTAAACATTAAAAACTAAAAACCAACATTCTAACCTCACGTAATAGGCGGTGCCCACTGGAAGATCGGTTCGGGTTGATTCGGTTTCTGGCGGCTTCAGTGCATACTATAAATAGATCCCTGCCTCAAACCGATCGCCAGACTCGCAGCCTTGAAGACAAACGCGTTTGTTATTGAAGGTCATCGTCGGTTTCGTTCGTTGGAAGCTTTTCTCCCTCAATGGAGGAAAATCTGGCTTGCAGCGATGACCAAACTGAAACAAACCGAGCTTAAACGATCTTGCCAATGGGCACCGGTTATTACCTGTTAAATTTTATTCCATTTGGGGTGGAGCGGGGAATCCTGCTATCAGGTCTATGAATCGACAAGACCTCACATCTTAAAAATGTTAAACCCCGTATAAAACCATAAACTCCATTTCGATTTCGGGGCTTTCCGCACTTCTCCAGTGGAGAGCCTCTAGGCCGAGGGCAACATCCCTTCCCTAAAACGAACACAACTTTCAGTACAATACGCAGTTAAACAGAACTCCACCAGACAACGCAGCACATGACTGCAATTTCATCCAGACATAGCACAAAAAAATTCAGAAACAATGAAAAATTCACTAAACCTCTCGGCCTCAGAGTCCTTGAGCACTTAAAAAAACCCACATATTTTTCTTATGAAGACAGAACATTGGAACCTCACCAAGGCAAAAATGAACTTAGATCTCTCACACACACTACGATTCATGCACAGATACAAAGACAGAAAAAACCCTCTAATTCGGATTCAGCTGTAGCTGCAGCTTCCCTGTCCACGAACAGCACTTTATAGTAAAATCTCCATCCCGAAGCCTCATTTTTTTTTCGGAGGCTACTACCATTTATATGGCATTAAACTCCATTGGAAATTCTCCTAATCATCCTTTCGCATTCTGCCCTATTCCATGTCTTGCCTCACTTCACTTTCCCTATCTCACACCCGAAAGTACATTGCCGTGGAGGATTCACTCATTGATTGAGAAGGGAAAAGATGTCTTGTTTGCTTTGGCATCTGATGAAACGATCGGGTCGATCCTCTTTTTTTTCTTTTTTTTTTATATGTGTGTTTTATGACGCTCACAACTGCATAGCGTCAAATGAGCGCATGGGAGAAATTAAGCATTTTGGTAGGAGTTAATTTTGAACTTTTGCCCGGGTGGCGGCTGAAGCCTACTCTTATCTATTTTAGGACTACCAAGGGATCTTTAAAGTACGCAACTTCCACATAGGACTTCCAAGATTTTTGGCCCTTATCAGAGAAGGCTAAGTCTTAGATCTCATCAACATCATCATCCTGTGCCAGATCTGCGACAGACATCGGTGATCATAGTTCTCCATTCATTCCTTTGCTCGGATGCTCTTAAAAAGCTACGTTTCCCTTATCTTTCTCCGTTACCTATCTGTTTAGGTTCCCTAAGTAGGTTGCTTTGGGCCTACCCCTGCGTCGTTTGCCTTCAATTTTGCCACTGAGAGCTCGATGTTCAAGACCTTTATGTCTATTCAAGTGTCCCAAAAACTGCATTTGGCGTTTCCTGATTGTTTTTAAAAGTGAGCGTCCAACGCGGGTTTCATCAAGTACTGCCTCATTCGATTTCTTTTTCTTCCACGATATTCATAGCATGTTGCTTCTATTTTATTTTCACCTTATTTAGTGATTGTCCATATCTACTCTCCACGACCATCTCTCATTTGGTTCGCGACTGCTTAGCAGCTAACCTCCATATCTTGAGGCCTTTCCTCTATCCACCACCTGGGGACGCGCTGGGTTGGGTATGAGGAGCCAATACTAAATCTTAGTACTTCTAAGATCTAAGATTAGGGGTGTGACTGAAAGACAGCAGTGCAAAGGAGTCAGTAGTAGCAGTAGAAAGAGTCAGGAGCTCAGAGGAGGGGAAAAGAGGGGAAGCAGAAAGTGGAGATGAAAGTAGATGACAGAAAAGGATTAGAGAGCGGGAAAGGAAGTGAAAAAAGAACATTTTAGAGAAGAACATTTTTCGTAGCTGTAAGTTTTCGAACCCGGAACTTATTGAATGAGAGGCGAACACCGTAACTCTAGACCAAAAGAATCCTTAACCCTTTTTGATGGGATCAACGGAGATCACCCTCCCACGGACGTTAAAAAATAATGTTACATTTATTCAAAATAATGTTTTAAAAACTTATTTTAAAAACATAAATGGCTGAGTTTTTTAAAACTTTATATTTTTAAAAATATCAAATATACACATAACAAATTCAAGTGTCACATAAAAAGACCAACTTACGTATAAGAAATCCAAATGTACAAATAAAGTCACAACAAATTCTAATATAACAATAGCATGTTCAAATGTAAACATTGAAATCTCATAGGAAATTCAAATGCCACATAGCAAGTTCCAAATGTCAACATACTTTTAAAAAGCTTTGCTGTGAGCTATCGTGAATACAACCAATTTGTGTTTCGCGCGTTCATATGACCTTATGTAGTTGCAAGCGCCGTAAAACTCGTACTAATTTAAACTTTAAAAGTTTTACGGCGCTCGCCGCAACTGCATAAGGTCTCTGGACACAAGGTCGTAATGTTCACTTTAGTTCGAAACACGGCTTGGTTTTACTTTGACATGAAAATCTCAGCAGTCTCTTTGTTTCCTTCTCAAGGGTATTTCCATTACAACTAATACATAAATAAAGAAGAAAAAAAAGATAAGTGGCTTTTCTTTAATTTTCTCCTACGGAGAGCTCTCTAAACGCTAACAAGAAAGATGCAAGGATTTGAAGATGTAAACAAAATAAAAAATATTACATTGTATTTTTTTACGGCAGGTACCGTGGACCAAGTTCTGCCGAAGGAGCCGTCGGTTGGCAAAGTTTATGATGCCCTAAAAATGGCGATTAAGAACAGTGAATTAACCTTCACTCTCATGGATAATACAGGCTTTGTGAGTACTCTAGTAACGATTTTCGTTCTCCCCGCCCTCTGTAATTGCTGCTCTCTACAAGGTGGGTCACTCAGAACTGTCATGAGCTAGGCTTCCCCATGTCAAAAGTGGTAATGTTTAAGCCCTACTCCTGTCTGTCTGTCTTCCTGTCTGTCTGTCTGTCTGTCCGTCTGTCCATCTGTCCGTCTATCCGTTTGTCCGTCTGTCCGTCTGTCTGTCTGTCTGTCTGTCTGTCTGTCTGTCTGTCTGTCTGTCTGTCTGTCTGTCTGTCTTACATAATACACCCTTAAAATGTTGTTTCAAATCACCTAACATTTCATCAATCTGTTCGGCTTCAACATTCCTGGTTTTAATGAAGTCGTCATCAGAGCCTTAAACATTGTATCTCTTTAATGTAATTTCCCCACTTTAGGCAAAACGTAATTAGAACTTGTAAACGTGCGATGGGAATAAAGTCTCACGATTTTTAAACAGTAAATTTATCTTAAGATGTGAATACTCAAACAAGACAAAGAAGCAGAGATGACAATAATACAAATGTTTTGTTAATTTGTTTTCATATTTGGTCGTCGTTATTCAGCATTTTGCAGCCAGAAGCCGATGTCATAAGTGTGGCTTGACCTGATTATAGGGCGATGAAAAATTGAGGAAAAAACAAAAACAAAACATAAACAAACAAAACAGAAAAACAACTAACACTCGCAGCAGTCATAAGATTATAAGGAGACTTGTTTAATTGTTGGCTGATATAATCAGTGCTTGTAAGGAAGGTCCAAAAGAAGTGAACAGGGTACGTATGTGGAATAAAACAGTTTAGAGTGTTGCGCAGGCTGCTTAGTGGTGATTTCCTGAACGTCTATTTACATTTAGGACTCATGGCCTACGGGTTACTTTGACCGCGAGGAAGTTCCCAAAGTAAGGGAGGGAAGCAGTAATTATTTGATTATATAATAATATACTCATTTACCTCCAGATAGGATACAACGCAATGACCAGCTTGGATCTTTAGAGCAACTTGAGGTCTTAATGATGTCCATACTTTAAAAAAAAAAATTCAACGTCTAATAGAACAGATAATGATGGCCGCTTAAACATTTTGAATTTAAAACGTATAAAAACAATTGAAAATAGTCGGGGGGGGGGGGGGGGGGGGGTTTAATTCGTCCTTTTTAAAATTATGTCCTGACGATGGGTCTCGGTTCGCACACGAAAAATATTATAGGCCCCTTTATGATTTTGTTTGACTGCAACGTTTTCTTTCCAGACCACAAACAATTCAGCGGGTGCCCAAATTGGTGCTCTTGGATAGATAACCGAAGTTTGCGTTTTAGCCCGTTGCTGCCTGCACTGTGACCAGTGACCAGTCTTTCTATGTTTTGTACGAGATTTTGCACTTATGTAAGATGGGTGACATGACATGTGCACATGGTCACATCTATATTGTCCTCTTTATGTAGTACAACTCCCAGAATACCATTCACACCTAGTGATGCCGATTGCACAACGGCCAATTCTCTAGAGGGGGATTACACAGTAAACAAGCATCCACTGATAGGCTCCGACTCAGGGTATGAGAGAAAAACGCATTCTTAATATTGGCCTTCAATACTTTTAACATGAATCATAACTTTGTTGACTGATCGACATAAAGCACAGATACCAATGACGAGTACTCAAAGAGGTTATAGCAGTACTAGTATAATAGATCATCACTGTCATAACGCATTCGCTTTTATTTATTGAATTGAGGCAACAGCCACATTAATCCAGATCCAGATCAACATTGTTTATAGGGTTAGAGGGAATGAATTTCACCTTTTTGAAATATGTACAAGATGCAATGATAATGCACTTGCAAGGGTTTTATTCACACAGACGTTGCATAAACATCCACTGATAATACTGATAGTGACAGAATATACATAGCAGTAATAGTCTCACAAAATACACTGACGATAAAAAAAAGGTACCACCTTATATTATGTTCAGTTAGTTCGTCTTTCGTGTAGAAAAATAATGCCTATGAAGTATTTGGCAAATGAATCGAGGTGAACGGATTAGCTTTCAGCAAAGTCTCTTTTATTAATGAAATTTGACAACAGGGGTAACATCCAAAAGTCACACATCAGGCTGTACGCCGTTTGATCTCCAGGTGCATTCAGCACCACAGTGCATCTCTTGCACACAGGGTACACACGTCTTGCTGTAAAACGTTGTTTCCGACATTGGTAAGGGTTTACTGCAGCTGTGAAATGGTTTTGGGACCGGTTTTTAACACGGTTAATTCTGCCCCATAGGTGCTCGATTGGGTACAAATCTGGTGAAAAGGCAGGCCGTGATTCCATGACAGAGACGTTATTTTGGATTTTTAAGAATTTAATTCCTAGTGGAGTGCACGATGTGCGGGTGCATTATCCTGTTTGAATGCCATGGGCTGATGTGTTGTTGAAGAAATGGCAGATAGTGTTCACGTGGTCTCCTGCACACTTTAATACTCCCATCATGGTGTTTAAGTCGGAATTGAGAATCGTCCGAGAAGGTGTCGATGTCCCGCTGCTCTTGGTCCATTGATGGTGTAGTTGTGTCCAGTTAATCCTAGCTTGAATTCCCCCAGCCTGCGATGAACAGTATGCCAGCTGACGGTTAAAAGTCCAGAAAATTATCTGGCGGTTTGAGTAGGTGCCCTGAAACGATTTCACAAGTTCAGGGTCCTGACATATCGGTATAGAGCTGGCATTGTTACCCTTGGACGGCCAGTTCTTGGTCGGTCTTGAATAGTTAAAGTCACAACGTACTGTTGTCTCAGTCGGCTGATGGTCCCTCTGTTGACGTTGAATGTCCTCGCAACAAAAGCTCGACGAGAATGCTGATGGCTTGATTTTTTAAAATCTTGAGTTTAAGGTGCCGTCTCTTCTGAGTTACAATGCTCAAAATGTTGAGGCGGTTTCACGTAACCAAAGACCTAAACTTCATTTGAAAAACGAAGAATATTTAAAAAACTAGTCACGTATTAGAGGAAGAATCCGAATTTTCTCTGGGGTTTTCACACGGGTACCGTGAACACTAATCAAAGCACCTAAATTCTATTCTTATAAGCTTACCTACTTTTCAGAATACTTAGTACTACTCATGTGAAAGATGAAGTGTAAAGCCTCAAAAGACTAGATTTTATACACAATCACAAAGTGGTACCCTTTTTTTATCGCCAGTATATTTCCATTGTTGAACTGTCATTTGTTGCTTGACGCATTGATGATTTTTCAATTTGGAACTCTGTACTGCCCTTCACGTCTCTCCAATAACGTTACTCAAACAAATGAATGTAAACACTGTACCCTTTTACTCTCATTCCAACTGTACTGCTATACCCCTGTTTTCATAACTTTAGACCTTGCCTGAACCATTATCCTACTCTGACCCCTTTGGAAAAACATGAATTTGCATCAATTCAAATGCGGTTCAGGTTGAGGAAAACAGTACATATCATATTTCTAATGACGGCAGGGCCGAATATCACTTGTAAAAGGATTTTTTGTTTGTAGTTGGATTTTTAACATTTCCATGCTAGTACTTGCGTGTTTAGCACTGCCATACCTTATTTTAATTATATCGTCACACAAGATAAAATTTATGAGTGATGAATTCTCGAAGTCAAAATCTTATTAAAAGACATCCCTCCCAATTTAACAATACTGTCCTGTGCTCCAATCATTTTGAAGATTACCAATCATAAATCCACTCACTAAACGCTGATTGCGGCAAAACGGCTGTGACCATCCTATTTGGCGCACCAATTCCACCTGAACCTGACCCCAAAATGTCCACCACCCAGGGAAAGAACACCCTTAAAACACTTTTCATCAACACGTTGCCGATCTGTTATTTTCGTTTTCGACACTACAATACAGGTCGGCGACGCCGTCTTCTCGTAAGAGTAATTCTTAACAAGGAGGATATAACAAGGTGACTGCCGAGTCCTTGGAACCCAGAAAACCAAAGGGATGCCTCGGAAATTTGAACAAAATTGCCAATACCAATATTGCCCCTGGGAATGAAAAGACCCAGGGAAATAACAGTTTTCTCTAAACATTGAAAGCCCAATTGGAAAAGTTCACAAAGTTTACTTTTTATGGACTCCGTTCAGAGAGTGAGTTTCGGGAAAGCAAGCGATAATAAATGGAGGTCGATCAGGGAAATCAACTTCTACTTTTGATTTTGTGGCCACTCTGAAATTTCCGATGACAGCCTGGTATGACATGTAGTTTATCAATATTATTGTTCTGTTATCACGTGGAAACAAAAGTCGCGAAAGTTCTAGTTAGTCGGGCCTGTAACTTCTTCCACTCCACGTGCACATTATGTGACATGACCTTGTGTGAGTAGCGCGTGTGTCGGAGACCGTCAGTTATCGGGTTTCCCTGTCCATTCACACTGCGCCGAAGCGTTGTTTTGGGGGTATGTCAGTTGAAATTAGGGGAGTGTATTGGGTAATTTTATTCACCAAACACTTATGGTATTTGACGTATAATATCTTTGAACTAAATTAACTATTCTAAGTTTGAAGCTCTACGCAGGATGGCGAGCAATAGAGGAGCGCAGCGTTGAGTCATGCATTTTTCTTGTGGTATCAAAACATATCTACGCTTTAGCTGTAACATAGCACAGAGGATGTGCACATACAGAAAAAGTAGATAGCGAAACATATTTTTAGATTCCGGTTTTTTTCTTAGATTTTACATTATTTGTATTCTTTTCACGCACATGTTATCATGAGCAGTTCGTTCACAGTGGAAAAAAGTTGGAATCGCGAGGTTGAATCTAATTACAAACGAATGCAAATTTTATTTACCAACATGCCGTGATATGAGAGAGAGAGAGCGAGAGAGAGAGACAGAGCGAGAGCGAGAGAGAGAGAGAGAGAGAGAGAGAGAGAGAGAGAGAGAGAGAGAGAGAGAGAGAGAGAGTGAGAGAGGGATCGCGCAGGGGAGGAGGTAATAATGTAGGCCAAGGTCGTCTTTGAAATCGGCCTTGTTAAACGATAATTGTTTTAAAAAAGATCCACAGATCGAATTAGAAAGGTTGTCCCTGAGACATGATATCATCCCTCATCATGCACATACTCACGTGTCCCACGCACTTATCATTTTTCATTTCAAAGCTTTGTCTTGGGTCAAGAAATGTGATATGGCTATATTTTCAAATCTGTCTCCCCCAGTGTAAGTCAGGGACTTTGACAAGCCTAGTTCACTTTCTTCCTGCAAACTTATCGTGACCGAGGCACCACCTACTTCCAGTTTCCTAATTACGCACCATTTGTTATTTTTGTTCCTAGATGGCTCTAGGCATCCTGACAGACATCCCATCTTTCTGAATTATTCGGACCAAACCCAAATTGCTATTTCAAAAAGGTGCATAAGAAAGATCTATATTCTGGAATCCTGATAAATTTGAAGCTTATTTTCAGTGTATTTTCACACGTGAAAAATTCATCTTCTGGGTTACTCCGAAATATGGCTGCTACAGAGGAGCCTGACCACCAGTTCAAATTTGAGCATAGATAATGGTTAAACATAATTCCCCTCAAATTTGGCCCAGACCGCACGAAACTAGAGAAGTTATTTGTTTTCTCGCCGTCATCAAGTCTGGGACATGAGCATAATAGCAAGATTGGCTGACGAAGATATTGAAGACAAAGGAGCCCTTCCACATCATCGCAGACTAAGGGCGAGACAGAAAGGCCACCGCATATGTTTCGGCGTATCGGTGACATAATATTCGCTCTGCGCCGATCTTTCCGAGAGTAGAGCATGAAGGACACATATGTCAGCGCGTCTAGACTGTTCCTCTGAACTAGATCTAGGTTTGACAGGTTGGGCTTTACCTTAAGTGTCATGTTGTGAACGTCTGTCGTATTGTAAATTCCAACATGTTGTCTTCTTTGGATGAAGAGTTTTTAATCTTGGATAGCTTTCTTCCAAAATTAAAGAAGAAACAAATTGGCGTGCAAATGCTACTTACTTTCATTTTTTTATTACCTTAATGGCGATTTCTTTCCACAGCTTGTCTGTGATTTTTCGATTTGCTTAAAATGTATCTCTTTTATACCAGATCGGAGACCTTTTGCATACAGCTGAAACCGAGGCATTGTTCACGTTAAAATATTAACTAAATATTATGTGAACAACTGTGTTTTCTTGAACATAAACTCACACACATACACACACACACACACACACACACACACACACACACACACACACACACACATGCGCGGGCGTGCACCCGCGCGCACGCACACACAACACAGAGAGCACATTCCTCAACTCAATAACTACAATCTGACGATTAAAAAAAACCCACTATTACTTATTTTCAAAAAATACTTCGCAAACTTAAATTCTGCTTGGTGAGCTTGTAGAATTTGATTAGTTGATTTCAAATATCAAATCAGATTTTGTCTACGACGTTTCCTTGTTGAGTTAATGGTCAGTTGAAGAAGTCCCCAGTCCAGCCCTATGACGTCACACACCCGGTGACGGGCCACTGACGGAGCACTCCTTTGCACCAAGCAGCGGCTTTCGGCGAGTAGGGATCAAAATTTAATTCCTATAAAATAAGCCGCCACCGGTCCCGCAGATCGGCACAGAGAGTAGGCTGTCTCTGTGCGCTTGTAGAAATTGTACAGATGGATTCCTATAACTTACGGCGTCTAGTGGTTAGGTGACAGAAATCGGCCGCCTTTATGTTCTCCCATGAACATGCTAATTTAATATGTACTATTCTTTGCTCTTCCTCAGGAAACACTGTATTCAGCAGTGGACATTGAAATAACTTTAGGTGAGTAGTCTTTATTTTTAATGTCAATAACACAAAAGATTATAAGATAGCATAGGGCAAGATGTTGTTATGTCGGCTGCGATCAGCTGTTCGCTCTGCCAGTCGGCGTAGTTTTAGTTGCTAACTATGGCCCCCAATTCCAAAGCCAATTTAATGCCCCCCCCCCAAAAAAAAAGGAGTCGAACCGAGCACTGCACTCTTATGGATAATAAAAACAGAAAATGACCCTTCCCTAGCTCCCAACGTTTTAAAAAAAAAGGTCTTGGCTCTCGGAAACGGTGTAGCCACCGGGCCGAGCAAATCTACTTCTACTGGAAAAAGGACCTTTCAGGCTGCCTCTGCCCTCCCTCCTCCGACGGGAGTTCTGCTGTAGCCGTACGCGACCATCCCCAGTCAAAACGCACAGAAGAAGATCACAGATCTAAATCTTTTCAGAACAGGAGATGCACTAAGACAGGCACTGGGATACAACCCTACAAATGAGCAGAAGCTGTCCTCTGGTACTTTCTTTGTCAAGTATCAACTCATGGATACCACGACCTTTGCCAGTGTTCCATGTGAATCCGAGCGTTACCAAACGTTTTACCCCTCGAAGGGCGTCGTCTGCAGCCATGAGCTGAAAGGCTGCTCCATGAAATGAATTGTGAGGGTGTGGTCGAAGCCCACCGAATTACTCTTCGGCGGGGGGACCACAATTGAAACAGACACAATTGTACTCTCATTTGAATCGTGTTGTCCTCCACCCAGCCACTGTTCGGGCATCTTTATTGGTACTGACGTCCAACCCTATGTGTCGAATCCTCTGCGCTGTTTCAAGTGCCAGAAGTTCGGCCACAGCCAGTCGCGATGCCGACACGCAGCCGTGTGTCCTCGTTATGGCAAGACCGGGCATCCTGGAAAGAAGTGCAAGGCTAGTCCTTGCTGCCCCAATTGCTGCGGCCAGCACACAAAGCAAAGAGTGCCCGACTTGGCTCAAAGAACGCACCATCCAAGAATACAAGGCGCGTAAAGGCTGCTTATTCTAGGAGGCTCGAAGGACTGTCTGCTCGCCAGTTGTGCCCCAGTCCCTGACCAGTCATACGCAAAGGCCGGCCGGTCACGAGGTCGACCAGTACTTCTACTGCTGACCTCACCCCGCTCACGGTCAACAATCCCAAAGTGACAGTGAAAACTGTAGAAAAGACCCTCTCTGCTCCAGTGGCACCCGCCCTTACGGTGACAATAGCTAACCACTTGGCGGTTTTTAGAAGAGGATGGGGTGGACGCTACCGCCGCCCCTTCTTCTTCCCCTCTCCCTTCTATCCCCTCTTCTTCCTCCTCACGTCCAAACCATCTGATGGAGCGTGAGTTGACCACCTCCCCCTACCCCTCCAGCAAACATCCCTATGGAGGATAGCGCCCCATCCCTCTACCCGGTCTCTCCCAGGAAGGGACGGAGCTCGTCATTCCTCCCTCAAATCACCCAGTAGGTGCCGCCCGATGTAGGAAAGCAGCCTCGCAAACCCCCTGTCTCCCCCGCAAGGAGGGGTCAGAATATTTCGAAGCTCCAAAACCAAAAAACCTTCACATTGGCGGACCTGCAATGGAATGCTGGAGGACTCCAACCTTCCATTGCAGAATTGCAACACCCACAGGCCACACTGTGCCCACTTGTAGCCTGTATCTAGGAAACAAAGTTCGCCCTGACTTCAGCCATAGACCATAGACTCAAGAGGTTTCACTGCGCATCACCATATTCACACGGAGAACCAGATTGCTTCCGGTGGATCACGGAACCACTATCTACATAGCCAACAACACAATTCACAAACAAATACATCTTAGGACGACCCTCCAGGCTATTGCCGTTCGGGTCACCTTGCACAGACAAATCACGATCTGCTCTGTCCCACCAAATTACACCTTCAAAATAACAGAACTAAAGATTTAAAGCTCCAATTCCCAGAACCCTCTATTTTGCTAGGTGATTTTAATGCCCACGGCTCCCTTTAGGGAGATAAACCCGCAGCACAAAGGGGGGAGTTATCGAAGATTTCTTATTTCAAAATAGCATCTGCCTCTTAAATGATAGGTCCCCCACTTACAGAAACAGATCCATTTTTGGCACTTCGCCTTTTGACCTCACCTTTTGTACCCCTTATCTAGCCCCAGACCTTTTCCAAATTCTGTTTAAAAAATTAGCCTCCAAAACGACCTGATCCCGGAACGCTTCAATTTTTAAAAAGCACACTGGGACGGGTTAGCCATAGAATGCTCCCAAAGTTTGAACCCCACTTTCGACCTCAACTACAAAAAATTTCACGAAACACTTTTAGAAATATGTCATAAAAACATACCAAAAACATCTCCAAAACCTCGGAAGAACAAGGTCTGGTTCTCTGGGGAGAGCTATGATGCCGTAAAGAAAAAGAAGGCAGTTTATCGGAGAGATGTCGAGAACAACTCTACAGAAAGCAAAATTAATTATTTAAAAGCTTGAGCTGATCCACGTAGATGACCGAGGGAGAGCAAAAGAAAGTCTTTGCAAAAATACATATCCGATATCAACAGTTCAAAATAGCTAAAACAAATTTTGGGTAGACGCACAGACACCACCAGGCATGTTCAAAGGCTGGATGGAACCGCTGCTGAAACACAGACAGATACATCGCAAACACAATAGCTACATCTCTCTCCAAAAATTCATCCAAAACAAACAACATGTACAACAACACCTTCCAAAACATCAAAACTAACAGAGAACAATAACACCTGTACTTCCACTCAGACAACACAGAAACTTACCGCGCAGACTTCAGACTAGATGAATTAACTTCACGCATCTTGGACCTGGGCAATACAGCCCCAAGTCCTGATGACAACCACAACCAGATCATTAGGCACTTACCCACCGAAACATTCACACTCCTTCTAGATATATACAATGACATGTGGCGGTCGCACACATTTCCGGGGTCTTGGCGACTTGCCACTGACATTCCAATACCCAAACCTAATAAAGACCACAAATTACCTTCAAACTAAAGACAAATCGTTTAAACGAGCTGTCTGTCCAACAAATATTTTAAAAAAGGATAAACAGGATGTGGTTTCTGGAGACGACGGGCTCGCTGAATGGTCTCCCGTACGGGTTCACGAAAATTCGATCCACTTTGGATCACCTGGTACGCCTGAAGACCTTTATACACGAGACGTTTGCTGAAGGAGCCCACATGATCACCATTTTTTAAAACTCAGAGAAAGCCTTCGACGGAACCTGGAAGTACTGAATTCTCAGAGACTTGCACACTCTCGGCCTTTACAGTCATCTCTCTGCCTTCATTGGCAATTTTCTGAAAAACTTCTCCTTTCAGGTTCGTATCAGATCCCGCCTCTCAGACCCCCCACAAACAGGCGGAAGGTGTTCCCCAGGGAAGCATCCTTTTTTCTCTGCTCTTTGAAATAAAAATAGATTCTATCATCCAGACCCTCCAAAGTAGTACAGACAGGTCGTTATACATTGACGACTTCCTGATATGCTGCCGTTCCAAAAATCCTTAACTAAGACCTATGGAAAGGCCGCTGCAACGCAGCTGCACGAACTTGAAAAGTGGGCAAACGAAAACGGTTTCAAGTTTTTCCCCGTCAAAGACGTTTGCAGTCCATTTCTGCCGATCAGGCAGACGTGTGCTGCTGCCAGGTCTGACACTATACGGGGAAAGGATTCCCGTCCACGACCAGGCTCGTTTCCTAGGAATTATATTTGACCAAAAAAACTCACATTCATCCCGCACATGAAAGACCTTCGTGTGAGGTGCCAGAAAACATTAACCGCTTTCAAAGTTGTATCGCATCAGGAGTGAGACGGGGACTCAAAACACCTTTATCGCCTATGCTGTTCCCTTGTCCGATCCAGGCTTGAGTACAGCTGTCCGGTCTTTGGATCGGCAAAACCCCACGTACTAAAATGCTAGACCAGTACAAAACCAAAGACCCCTGCGTCGCCCCGAGGGCTTTCTGCATTTCTCCGGTGGCCAGCCTCTTGGCGTGGCAAACATACCATCACTGACACTCAGACACACACACAAGGGCGACGGAAAATTGCGCACGTTTTAAATCCTATTGTCCAAAAGTTCTAAGGAGTTTTCCAAAACCTGTTGGAAAATTGCGCAGGGATTTTTGGAATCGAGTATTTCGTAGGTATTCGACACCGTAATGACTTGAAATTATATTTATTATATGTAAGCTTATAAGTTGAAGTAGTAGTGGCTCCTACTTACTTTTGTCTTTCAGTCCCACCCCTTATAAGTTGAAGTAGTAGACCTCTTCCGGTAACCAATTATCAAGACTTATTTAACTGATCATTTTTCAGGACAAAACAAGCTTGGATGGTCGCTCAGTTGACTGTTCCATCACTTTTCGTTTGAGACTGTTTCTACCTGCACACATTTCCTCTTCTTGCTCTGATGGCGGTTGGTGACTGTGCCCTTTTCCAGATTTCATTATAGTGTTGTGCCCTGGAACTATTGTGATGTGGCAGTACAAGCTTTTCTTGTGCACCTCCAACGTGTACTTTTTTTTGCAAACTTCTGCCAGTCTGAAGTGAAAGCCTCTGTGTAGGAGCCCTTCTCTTCCTTTCTCTGTCATTCTTAGTTTCTTCTTGGGCACGACTAAATTTCATTGGGTTTACACACTACCTATTTATGCAGGGCCGGTAATATATTTCCTTATTTTATGGTTCTTCTGAGACAAACTCACCGGACTATTTTCAGCTATATATTGTACCCCCCCCCCCAACCAACCCAACCTGGTAGTAAGTTCTACTACTTGAACTTAATCACAGTCCAGGTCGCAGTACCGATTCGACCACAGCTACCCCAGAATCGATACCACATTCAAAAACTTGCGTAATTTACCATCCACAGAAAGGCGGCTTATTGCGTAAAATGTTGCATAACAGGGCAACTATCACTGCAATGCGCAATTAAACAAAGCTCAACGTCAGAGAACCTAGCACAAGTTTACATATTTGGAACACACCCATACACAATAAACAAATTAAAAAACAATGAAAAACGCATCATACTTTTCAACCTTAGAGTTTTTGAGGACCTCAAAAACATACACCTTTGCAAACAAGATATTGAACAATTTCTTTTCCCCGACCTCCCTCCGTGGCACCTCATCAAGGCAAAAGTTGACTTACAACTCACCTCACACAACAAAGAAAGCAGAAACACCAAAATTTCCAAAGGAGCATACTTGTTAAAAATACCCCGCTGCAGAACTTATCTTCACAGCTTTAAATCGACTCAGCTGTGGGCGCCGCCGCCCTGTCCTCAAACAGTACACACCAGGAGAGACTCCATGCCGAAGCCTCAATTTTCTCTGCGGAAGTCACATGACACTGGACTCCGTAGAAAATTCTCCTAACACGTCTTTCCTTGTTCTGTCTGACTCTCTGTCTCGCATCAGCTCACTCACAAATCACACAATCATACACCCAAACATAGTTAGGTTGCAATTAAAAATACACGCTTTAACTGAAACCGGAAAACGTATCGTATCATGACTACCTAGTCATGACGTGAGCATCCAAGGAAACGAGCAGGTCGATCTCCGAGCGAAAGAATCCTTGTCCCTTCTGTTGGGATCGCCGACTAACACTCTCCCACTGTCTGACTTTAAAAACAGTTAAAATACAACACCTCCTGTCTATGGCAGAGACATTGGAGTAAACAAACCAACAACAAACTCTATGACATCATGCCCAAACTGGGTCCTCGAAAGCCTTCGGATCTCCCTAGAAGAGACGAAGTAATCTTTAGATCTACTCGATTTCGTATCGGACACTCCATTCTGACACATAAGTACCTCCTGCAAGGAGATGAGAAACCGACACAGATTTCACCGTTAAGAGACGAGGTGAGTAATTTTTTAGACTCAAGTGAGGGGGATGACTTACACAGAAAAAAGGGCGCAGGGTGGTTTCGCTCTTTCAAAATGAACAATTTGTTGGCATGATTACTATAAGTCGTCTACTTTAGTGATCCTGTGTATGCATCCAAAGAGCGGTTTTAATATAGGGCCCAAAGAGAAAAACTGTTTTATTACTGGATCGAGAGTTTTTGTAAAAATAGTTTTGTTTGGTCGCTGGCTTGCAGAAGTGCCATGCAAAGTTTCGTGGGCATTGGTAAATTACTAATTGAACAAAACATTTCTTACGCGGTCAGACAAAAGTGAACAATCTATAGTAGTTCACTTCCGTTAGTCATTATTTTTTTCAAAACAAGAAAAGTGAACAAGCAATAACATTCTCTCAGATTTGATGTTTTAAGAAAAAGAAACAATAATATCGTCTCCATGTTTTCCCAGGCCATCCATTGAAGACAATGATGTTACCATCTCTTCCCACCCAGTTTTCTTTTCGAATGGAAACCGTGATACCAGAGCAAAACAGAGTCCTGGAAACCTATGTAAGGGTATATTACAACAATTCTTCTTCCACTTTTCCCTCAAAGTTAAGTATCCCCCCCCCCCCCCCGCCCTTTCGAACTGATTGACTTTCTGCTGATTGTTGTTGTTGTTGTTGTTGTTGTTGTTGTTGTTGTTGTTGTTGTTGTTGTTGTTGTTGTTCTTCTTCTTCTTCTTCTTCTTCTTCTTCTTCTTCTTCTTCTTCTTCTTCTTCTTCTTCTTCTTCTTCTTCTTCTTCTTCTTCTTCTTCTTCTTCTTCTACCCCCCCCCCCTTCTTCTTCTTTTAATTTTAACCGATACCGCTCGTATCTACTCTTTGTTTAACTTCTGAATGAGCCTAGCCTCCTGCTTTGCTTCCAGATCTGGTATGACCAAGGAATGAAACTTACACGGTTTGACCAGCGTGATCCTCTTGACTCGTCGCCATTTCAGATGACGCACATCCACGATTTCAGCAAAGGTACTGACAATTTACAAGACTGCTTGTAGTTGTTTCTCCAGTTTGTTGTTGTGGTTGTTGTTGTTGTTGTTATTGTTTTGTGGGGAGTGAGCTCAGCAGCTACATTTCATCAGAGACGGATTGAGAATGAGATAATCATATGGCCCCATTTCAAAATATACCCAACTAATCTTGACGTTGAGCATTATGAATGCTTCTGTACTTTAAAACTGTGCTGGGCGCATAAAAAAGACGACCTCCCTGAAACAAACAAACAAACAAACAAACAAAAATAACACCAACCCACAAAACCACCACACACTCTTCCCTTTAATTGTTTAAGATTGACATCGGGTCTATTTGCTTTGTGCTAATTTTGGTTGTATTTAATTTTATAGATGTCAATTAGAAAATGAAAATGTATCCTTTTTTTTTGGGGGGGGGGGGGTGTAAGTGTTTTACGGCGCTCGCAACTGCTTAAGGTTATATGAGCGCGCACCTAATATTTTCAGTTGGTAGGAAATTTTGAATTTTGCCCGGGTGGCGGCCGAAGCCTAATCTTTATCGATTTTAGACCACCAAGGGATCTTTAACGTGCGCAACTTGCACACGGGCTCTCCGAGATTTTTGGCCCTTGTCCGAGAAGGCTAGGTGTAGATCTTTCCTACCAGAAGATCAGGGGTGTGGCAGAAAGACAGCAGTAAGAAGAAGCAAGGGAGTAGCAGTAAAATGGCTGCAGAAAGAGTCAGGAGCCCAGAGGAGGGGGCAAAGGAGGTGAGGGGGTGGGGGCAGAAAGAGGAGACGAAAGCAGATGACAGAACAATGTTAGAGAGCAGGAAAGGAGGTGAAAGGAGACAATTTTAGAGAAGAAAATGTTTTGGTCGCTACCCGGATTCGAACCTGGGACCTTTGAATGAGAGGCGAACACCTTAACCTCTAGGCCTCGAGAGCCCCCAAATATATCCTTTTCAGCAAGGCCAAGCACTAGGGCTGGATTCTGCTCGGTTAATCGAAGGCTTGTAAAGCAGCGGAAGTCTTGCGCTAGAGTCTTGCGAGCAGGCTTGTGGTTTGATTTGCCTCCCGCTTGCTACCGGAGTGAACTTCCGGTGAGTTGTGACTCGCGGACAGTCCTGCTGTACTGTGTCGTGACGTCGCGAACTCTCGTGGCAGTGGGCTCAGTACATATTATAGATTCTCTGGTTATTTGCGCTGAGAGGCTTGCACCAAAAGTGCAAGATCGGTTGTTGTTTTTTCATAGTTCGGTTGTAAAAAACAAAAAGCTCTATTCAATGCACTTAAAAATTAATATTGGATCGGCTATTCTTATGATGTTAAGGCCTGTTTATTTTTAATGTGCACGAGCCAAGCGCTTCATCGTCGCACGCAAAAGACCTCAGTTCGATTCCCGTATGGGGAGAAACTTTTACTGAGAACCTCCGTCTTTCTGCTGGGGCGTTGTTCCCTCTCAGCCCAGGTTGGCCTTGACATTGGGTTGAAGTAGGCCTAGCCCGTCTCCTAAATGTTCTGTATTATGTCACTGTGAGTGTAACACATCTACAAAATAGGTTACATACATACGATACAAAAGCCAATCACAACGACCCCTGGAGTTCTCCATTCTAGGGTAATCTAAGTCAACTTATTCTTATTACTACCAGAAACCTAGGTCTCTGTTACTACAATACCACGCTCCCTCTCACTTATCCATTCGCTTTGCTGATCAACGGCGGGAAGTTAAAAATAACTTCAGCTCTCTACGCCTTGCACCAAAACAAGCCCAGCCTCTCCCTTCCTCCACGGTTCAAAGTTCACACAGCGCACAGTACTGTCTTGCTGTTTGAACACATCGGACTGTCTTGTCGCCATCAAGACGGTCCTACGCCATCGAGCCCGTGCCGCTCGCTCGGTGTATCGAGACAGTACAAGTCAGCAGATCAGGTTTGGAGCTTGTCCTGGGGCAAATCTGTAAGCCTAGCGCAAATCAGTACTGTGTGAATTGTGGGGCCTGTGGCAGAGGACGGGACTTGAGGCTTGCGTAGGCCTCGATTAATCGAGTAAACTACAGCGCCACGCCGCGCAGTGACTCTGTGGGCGAGATCTCTCACTCTCCCCCTCTCTCTTTTTCTGACGTAAGTGGCTTCGCGGATTGCAAGCAGGGTGGGGATGATGAGGGGGCCTGACACGAGTGGCTTCGCGGATTGCTAGTTGCTGTGGACTTGAAGTTTAGACTAGACAAAGGAGGTTACAGTTTGCGCTAGACTCAACTTATCATGCTGGTGATTTGATTTGATGATTTGACCTACTGATTTGAGGCTTGTGACTTGAACTAGGGGCTTGTGAGCACGAGCGGGTTTGCTACCGGGGTACAGCCCTACCAAGCACCTTGGTATCTATTTAGATGTATGTACCTACTTCTCAGAAGAAACAGTAAGATAAGGCACCTTATTTCAACTGATATTGCATGCATGCTCTTTGTCTCTCTTGTCTTGTCAGAACTTGACTATTGCATTTGTGTTCTGTCTTGTATCTCATGTGAAAGAATGAGGAAATTGAAAGTGGTCCAAAATAACACTGCAAGACTAGTACTGAAGAAAAAGAAGAACAACCCTGCATCAATAATGTTAAAAAGTTCTGCACTTGCTTCCAACTTCCAGCTGATCTAAGAGTCCAATATATTATAAAGTTAACATAACTTGTTCACTTTTGTCTGTCTGTGTTGAAAAAAATATCTCTCATTTACATATTTACCCATGCCCACGAAAGTTTGCATGGCACTTCTGCAGACCAGCAACAAAACAAAAATATTTTTGCAAAAAATCTTGATTCAGTGATAAAACAGTTTTTCACTTTGGGCCCAAGTGGAATCTATATGAAAAACCGCTCTTTGGATACAAACACAGGATCACAAAAAAATAAATGACATACGTAATCTTGCCTACAAATTGCCCATTTTGAGACAGCTCCACCATCCTGCCCCCTTATTTCAGTGTAAGCTTGAAGATTTCTTCCCCAGGCTGTCAAGACGTCTCCACGTGCTCCTCGCGAGTCTCGAAAACTACTCACCCCGTCTCTTGTCTAACGTTTCTTTGGCGTTGAGTGTTGTGCTGAGGAAAATATCATGTCAACTTTTTAATGTTTTATGTGTATACTGTAAATCCCCTATCATTATTTTTTTTCCGTTTTAGGCTTACATCAAAGAAAACGTATCGGAACCTTAGTTTTGAATGGGCTTCTAGATTCTCTTGGTCATCCAACTTTAAGACCCCTAGATCTATACACAAATTGAAAAGATTAAACAGAGCGATTTCGTTTTATCTTGTTTTAACCGTGGCCAGACGAAAGTGAACAAGCTATACCATCTTTTAAACAATGTCTTAATAACAACAATAATGCCCCATCATATTATCTGTTTGAAACACAATGTTCCATCTCGTCAGTTACGGTCATCCACAGACGTAACAAAATTCAGAGGCCCTAAAATGAAATTAGGATCTCTTGGAGAGATAGTGTCTCATTTTTTGACCCTTAAATGTGAAATTCCTCGTGACAGGTCCTCAGAAAAATAACAAAGCCTAATACATTTAAGCGATTGCTCAAGACTCATCTGTTTAATTCTTAGCTGCTGTGTCTTAGTAAATGCTTGTATGTTGTTTTGTTTTTTACTGCTGTCCTTGCGTGTATTTATTGTATGGTTGAAAAAGTTCTTTTTGTGCGGTTGAACTGGTTTTCGTGTACGAATGAAGTATTACGCTCAGTGATCATGTGATCGATGTAAAGAGGGATAGAGGGGTAACTAAATGCAGTCTATTATTATTATCATTATTATTATTATTATTATTATTATTATTATTATTATTATTATTATTATTATTATTATCATTATCATTATGATCATTATTATTATTATTATTATTATTTTTATTTTTATTATTTTTATTGTTATTTCCTGTCAACATGTAAGCTTAAATGTCCCTATTTGTCCCTTTAATTAACTGTAACTCGAACGTGCTTGTCGCCCTCTCTGCTGTTTCTGCCTATCAATATCACCAAGTCTTTTTTACTACCCCTTACGTCTGTCTGGAGGGTGTGTTGGCGGAGCGGTTAGTGCGCTCGTCTCCACAGCGGAAAGTCCGGATTCGAGCCTCGGTTTGGACAAGGATTTTTTCGTGGCTTCGAGTTAGGAAAGTAAAGGCGGCGTGGAAAGGAACTGGCCACCCTACCACAATATGCCGAAGGCTCAAGAAGTTGTCTCACTAACAAGGCAATCCCCAATGTCCGGATCGGATGCGGCAACAACTTTACTTTATTTTTTCGTCTGTCTGCCTGTGTGTCTGTCCTTGTTGTTTTAGTCTATCTGTGTTCTATCCATAATATCAACTGTCTTTTTGTAATTATAGAGCCATAATTAGCCTCTCTTGCCGTCCCTCAGTCTCAAACATGTCAGTGATGCATCTCCAGGGGCGGAATTTTTCATAAACCAAGTAACAGAGGAATGCTATATTGGCCCTATACCAACCGATAAGGAGTACCCTGATGTGATACAGTTCAAGTTTCCAAACGGGAGTGATACAATAAGGATGGCAACACCATTAGAATTTTTCAGACTAGACAATACCTACTCCTACGTGGTTTCTGACAAAAAACGCGATGTTCTAGAGCATTATAGAAAAAGAAGCATAACTTCATTAATTTTATCATACGGATTTTTCAGAAAAAGAAGCATAACTTCATTAATTCTATCATACGGATTTTTCAATTATATTTTCCTATCAAAAACAAGATTGGTTGTATGCTCATCATTGCCTTTGGTCATCTACTGATCAGATAGATGGATAGATAGATAGATAGATAGATAGATAGATAGATAGATAGATAGATAGATAGATAGATAGATAGATAGATAGATAGATAGATAGATAGATAGATAGATAGATAGATAGATAGATAGATAGATAGATAGATAGATAGATAGATAGAGAGATTGATAGAGAGAGAGAGAGTTTGTGTGTGTGTGTGAGAGAGAGAGAGTGAGAGAGGGAGGGAGAGAGGCGGGAGAGAGAGAGAGAGAGAAAGAGAGAGAGAGAGAGAGAGAGAGAGAGAGAGAGAGAGAGAGAGAGAGAGAGAGAGAGAGAGAGAAAGAGTTTATTATCCATTTACTGGCCACACATTCAACACCCTAATTCTGTTCCTCCATTTACACCCCCACCACGCCCTAGGCTTCTGTCCGTGGCATCTTGTGCGATGTGTTCGAATCTGTGAGATCGGACTTCCACGTGCGCAGCGCTGATAACGCTAGCAGCGAGGAGAGCATCTTTACGTTCTACTTCCTGGCTGTAAGTTTTGAACATGGTCAAGGAATTATGTGTATGCCTGCACGTGTATATTGTTATATATACTGAATGCTATTAAAAATACAACGTTTTCAAATAGTTATACAAAAGCCAAATATGTTCTAATCGTCACGATTTTTGGAGACACAAGTGAGCAATAGTTAGTCCACACACCCATGCACTGTTTTTGCCATTTCCATGAGCATTTTTCATCTTAATACAGTAAATTTTATTTTAGTAAATTGTATTCATTAGTTGCTGCTATATTATAAAAGAATACAAAATCATTTACCTGGAAGATGCCCCGTAGCTCTTTTCAAACAAAAGTTCTAGCTTTTTTTCGATCATAATTTTTTCTTTCATTACAAGACTCATCGACTTAGCTAAACTGATCGCAACTTTCGTTTCCGCCTTGTTCATGACGGAAAATCTGTCTGAGAAGCAGCAATGTGGCTAAAATGTAGTAGTTGTATTGTTCTCGACTTATACAAAGTTTTTAGCGCACTTGAAATGTCCGGGATGGGCAAAGAACAGAACAGTCTCGAGTGACCAGCCCTGTTCAAGAGAGGCTGATTTTGCTGTCACGTCTGCGATAAATATATACTATACACACATAGAATCCCCCCCCCCCTCCTCGGGCAGTGCTACTGACTGTAGTATCGTTAGACTAATCCCAAAGGGGGAAAATTAACAAGTTCTTATGCACAGTAGAATTGTAAATGGGCTGATTCATCAATGTCATGCTCATAACTGTGCCTGAACTGCATACGAGGAACTGCTGCTTTTTCTTTCCTAATCCTTACTATCGTCCTTTTTCCATTACTTCTTTTGTTTGTTTGTCACTCTCTTGTTAACCGCTATTTCCGGGGTACCTTGATAGTCAAAGCAGACTTTGTGCTGGTGAAGCAAGAGTAAACCTGATTCCCTGTATGGGTTTCTCTGTTGACATCCATCCCTTGGCGCTCATATGAACTTATGCAGTTGCAAGCGCCGTAAAAACTCTACTAAACCTGAAACTAAAACATATATTATGTAAAGCAATTTACACGAGCAATTGAAACTCCTCCTCCTCCTCCTCCTCCTCCTCCTCCTCCTCCTCCTCCTCCTCCTCCTCCTCCTCCTCCCCCTCCTCCTCCCCCCTCCTCCTCCTCCTCCTTCTCGTTTTTTTTTTCTTCTTCTTCTTCTTCTTCTTCTTCTTCTTCTTCTTCTTCTTCTTCTTCTTCTTCTTCTTCTTCTTCTTCTTCTTCTTCTTCTTCTTCTTCTTCTTCTTCTTCTTTTTCTTCTTCTTCTTCTTCTTCTTCTTCTTCTTCTTCTTCTTCTTCTTCTTCTTCTTCTTCTTCTTCTTCTTCTTCCAACTTGTGTGTGTGTATGTGTGTGTGTGTGTGTGTGTGTGTGTGTGTGTGTGTGTGTGTGTGTGTGTGTGTGTGTGTGTGTGTGTGTGTGTGTGTGAGGGTGTTACATACGGAATAGAAAATATACTTTCAACGTAAATAATTATTACATTTTGTTGATAATAATATTATTGTAAATTATATTATTATATATACAACATGCATATTAATGATAAATAACAGTCAGTAAAGCTGTTTGAAAGCGAGAATTGAAGCTCAATCCGAAAAACGCATGTAAAAGAAAGGTTAAACTTGACGTTTAGTGAAAATTACAGAATGGTAAAAGGTATAACTCTAATCATCATAAAGCATAAACAATTGCAAACGTAATGGAATACAATGGATCCCTTGGCAGCAGCTGGACGACTTAGACTTCGCCGATGACCTTGCGCTGCTCTCTCACACACATGCTCAGATGCAAGAAAAGACCAAGGAACTCAACAGGCTATCAAGGAGTGTTGGCCTACGTATACATCCAGGCAAGTCAAAAGTAGTGAAGCTAGGAAAAGTTTCAAGCCCTGCTGTGACAGTGGAAGACACTCCCCTGGAAGAAGTGGACTCCTTTACCTACCTTGGAAGTGTCATCGATGGTAAAGGTGGAACCAAGGCAGACGTTAAAGCATGAACCGCCAAGGCAAGGTCAACCTTCAAGCAATTATCAGAAGTCTGGAAAGCAAGCAACATCTCGCTGCGCACCAAGATTCGACTCTTTAACTCCAACGTCAAGTCTGTGCTCCTCTACGGCTGCGAAACTTGGAAGACAACGAAAACAGTACTGAATAAAGTCCAGACTTTCATCAACAGATGTATGAGGAGTATTCTAAGAATTAAGTGGCAGGATAGAATAAGAAATGAAGAACTGTGGGAAAGGACAGGACAAAAGGATATAGAAGTAGAAATAGGACTAAGAAAGTGGCGATGGATGGGACACACCTTAAGAAAGCCCAGCGGAAACATCACAAGACAGTCACTGCAGTGGAACCCACAAGGAGCACGAGGCAGGGGTAGGCCACAGGAAACATGGAGGAGATGCGTGGAAAGGGACATGAGAGAAATGAAGCTCACTTGGAACGAGCTTGGAAGGATGGCTCAGGACAGAGATAAATGTGTGTGGCCTATACCCTGCCAGGGGTGAAAGGCATTGATGATGATGATGATAAACAATCCGGAAATGAGAAAAGATTAATTGAATTTTCTTTAGTGATATCCAAACGCTGGAATGTGCTCTTTTCCTGAGATGTCTGCTTAGACCCAGTTGACCCTGACTGGCAGGATGAAGTATCCCGCCTTCTGAATGAATCAGATTGTATTGATAAGGACGTTTATGCCAGTCAGCATTAATTCAGAGGTAGCCATTGTTGATTTACAATTTACGTGTGTTTGCCTGTGTTGCAGGATGACTGGGACTATGTGACAGTGGAGAGCAATTCTCCAGTTTCCAGTACTTCACAACCCGTCATGCTGCAGATCACAGACAAAACAGTAAGTTTTAATGGGTTGTTTATTATCTTTTTTACTGAAGGTATTCTTTTCCTTTTTTGTGTTGTCTGTTTGCTTCTAAGGCTTAGTAGTTACTTGATAATGTCGGACTATGCTGCAGATGGCCGTGGTTCAAATTCCAAATGGTTCTTTTCTGAGCTTGTGTTGTTCTTGGAGTGTACATATATCGATACTATCAGAGATAGGGCTTAATGGAGTGAAATTCCAGCTTCAAGCCCCTTTTTATATATGGTATGAGTTTAACGCCCCTATCAACACTATTAGGTTATTTAAGGGGCGGAACCTCCTAGTTTCACGTCCGTCTCCGATAGGACCGAACTAAGTGGGAAGTTCGTGTAAAGTGCCTTTCCCAAGTACACAACGTCGGACCGAGCTGAGGCTCGAACCCCCGAACCCGTAATCTCACGATTACGAGTCCGGTAGCCTAACCACTAGGCTACCGACGCCACTTCAAGTCCTTTTGATAACCTTAGAGTCATTAAAAAGAACTTTAAAATCGTACAGAACCGTACTATACGGTATGTGCGTAGTTGTTACTGACTTGGCTTAGGACGAATCAGCACTATAAAGGTTATGTTTTGACCGGGACACATTACAGTGTTATCAACAAGAAAAGAAAGAGAGGTTTCACGAATAAATAGCACCATGGTGCCCACCAGCTACCAAGATTTAGGTTTTCACTTGATACTTCGACATGGCACGACTCACGCAATCTTAAAGGCGAATCACGTTCTTTGTACCTCCAGGGACACTGTTTAGAAGTCTTTTTTTTTCTTTTTTTTTCATAAAAAAATATTTCTATTTTAGAAGAGAATGTCAAGTTCCCAACTAACTGCATCAGTGAAGCCACCAGCAAGATTTTATTTAATTAAATAGAATGTAATAATAACGTGCGGAATATCGTTGAGAAGAAGTTTCCTTGTGGTATCAGAGGTGATAATTCATTTCATGTAAATGGTCTTTTGGGGGTAGCCCGTAAGAAAGAGGGTAGGAATGAACAAGAGAAAATGTTGACAGTACTTAGAAACGGCAGTGCCGCATGAGTACCTATGCAAAATGGGATTACAAGGGAACCATCCTGAAAAATATGGGGCTCCGAACATCGGTTTTACCGACGGCACCAATAACAACGAAGGCGGCGACGACTAAGACGACGACAAAAACGATGATCATGTTGATGATAACAAAATTCCTTTATTGTCTAATCTACATTAAAATTGAACAGGTCGTCATAGATCAGTTCTCAAGAGTCTCCTTTTTTACTTTATATATTTTAAATGTAACGTTTCACGTCCTCATCGACACACTTTAGATCAGTCGGGATGCTGGCTGCTTCGACAGCCGTGGCCAGTCCGCGCTGAGAGGGATTCATCGTTCCACCTGACCCCCTTTCACTCACATGGCTATCGTTCTAACACAATCTACATATTGTGATAGTAAAGCACCGAACCGCTACACAACATACTTTTTTAACTTGAAAAGGGGGGGGGGGTTGCAATGATGATGATGTTGGCGTGGACAAAACGCATAGGTAATCATTACCGCCCCCACTCCTTCTTTCTTATCGTTCTCAAGACAGGAACGTACATTATCAACAATTATTACGACTATGATGACGAGCATCATTCCATGAAGTATTACGACATTAGCAAATGTTTTGGACCAGAAGAGCGGAAAAGCTTTGAAATCATCTTTAAAGGACGTAAGTATTCCTGAACTACTATTTTTTCGAGAAAAGCTAATAGAGAAAAATTGCCACGTAGAGGACAAAGAATACATCTAGATTTTAAAGATAACTGTAATAAATCTTTCAAATAACTAAATAGCGCTATATCTATTTACGCCCCCCCCCCTCTCTCTCTCTCTCTCTCTCTCTCTCTCTCTCTCTCTCTATCTCTATCTCTCTCTCTCTCTTTCTTGCTCGCTTTCTCCCCCTCCCCCTTTTCTCTGAAACAAGAGTCTCTTCAACCGTCTAAGGCTGATGCGCATACTTTATACTCGGTACCGGTTTAGTCGATGGTCTACCGCTGTGTTTCTGGTTTAGCTGAAGGTCTACCGCAGGAACAGTCTGGCAACGCGATGTTACTGGTTTACACAGGCTTAACTTCAAATAGAACACTATGTCTTTTCTTTTTCAAATGTGACTCTACACCCTCAAATTTGACATCAATGAAAATATGAGTTATTTTATCAGTGAAGAAAAGAAAAGTGCTGGCAGTTTTCTCCAAAATCGCCGATGCAGACAAAACCCGAATTTACAAGGCATACTGTCTAAGAGTTGTGGAATACTTGTGAATTGCAAATCGCACTACCTGCAATAATAAGCGCAAGAAACAGCGGGCAAAGCTTACCACCAGCTCCTGAATCAGAACTACGAAGAAAGAATGACAACCTTAACCCAAAAAGTATAACAAAGAGTCGATGTTGTCTACTGCTCCAAAGATGTAAACTGCTGTTTTAGTATGGGTATGCAAGCGTATTGAATTTGCCTGCCTTCTGTAGGAGGCAAAACGCTTTCATGTAATTTTGAATTATCTTAGATTTCATGTACTTAGGACGTATAGGTGAGATGGGGTATTTGTATATTATAGTTATTTACGACAGCAAAGTAATTAGTAGCCTTTTGTTGATAAATATTTTTTCCATTAATTCATTTGCTTCAAATCATCTCAAGTCTATCTCTATTGGGGGAAGAGGAGGAGGAGGAGGAGTGGAGATATCCTTGTTTTGAAACCTTTTACACTTGCTGCCCAGACTAACTCAATATTTTTATCATTGCAAATATTATTGTTTGATCTAATCAACACCGCAAAACGAACCAACCTTCTCCACCCAAACACAGCAATTATGTAACTCCAGCTCCTTTGTTCAAAATGCCCTCAGCGCTGTCACTATCATGACCAATCATTAGCTATATAATATCTACTATCTACTCACGCCCCCCTCCCTCTCTCTCTCTGTCTCTCTTTACCTTATTTTTAACTCATTTACTAGTGTTTCAGTAATACAGATTCAAACACTAACGCCCAGTATTACTCAAATATTATGTAATATACAAATACAAAACATTAGCACTTATGCTCCTGTATCCTCTCTTCATCTTTTGTACTAATTATGCTTAGTATCACAATTGCCATTATCAACAACAGCTGCAAGAACAATATAAACAACAAAAACAACAACAACATCATCCTCAACATCATTAACAACAGCTACGACAAAAATAACAGTGATAAATTAATTTCTTGGCTACTCTATACAGAGAACTACCACCCATACCTAGATGTCACATCCAACACGTTCCTCAACACTGCACTCCTGAAGCTCGGACAGGCCACGTCATTGTCACCTCTACACTTCCAAAACCTGCAAGTGACCTACGATGATGAAAACGTGTACCTGCTTGTTACGCTTTTAGGAAACATACCGTCATCTGGTAACTCTCTTTTCTTTGTGTGGGCGATGTATTTATATATATATATATATATATATATATATATATATATATATATATATATATATATATATGTGTGTGTGTGTGTGTGTGTGTGTGTGTGTGTGTGTATGTGTGTGTATGTGTGTGTGCGTGTGCGTGTGCGTGCGTGTGGGCATGTGTGTGTATATATATATATATATATATATATATATATATATATGTGTGTGTGTGTGTGTGTGTGTGTGTGTGTGTGTGTGTGTGTATGAATGTGTGTGCGTATGTGTGTTTATTTAATATGTATGTATGTATGTATGTATGTATGTATGTATGTATGTATGTATGTGTGTATGTGTGTGTGTGTGTGTGTGTGTGTGTGTGTGTGTGTGTGTGTGTGTGTGTGTGTGTGTGTGTGTGTGTGTGTGTGTGTGTGTGTGTTATCATATTGACCTATAAAAACGCTACAGAGGAGGTAAGTGAAGACGATTCCTACGATACTTTTAAAGTATTCTTGCAGAATATCTTGTTTTGTTTGTTTTAGTAGAGGTTTTACGGCGCTGGCAACTGCATAAGGAGAATATGTTGTTGGGGGATATTAACGCCCAAGTTGAGACAGTCAATACCTGTTTTGATGATGTGGTAGGAGAGTATGGACTGGAAGAGGTAAATGACAACGATGAAAGATTCAAGGACGTGTGTCCAATGCATAACCTGGTACTAGGAGGAACCGTTTTCCTCCTCAATGGGATCCACAAGGCAACATGAATATAACTGACCATAATAAGAAATAATACTCGTATAGCGCAAATTCCCGCTTAACAGCAAGCTCTATAATGTTATTGCCCAAGCAGACGTGATAGCCATCTGAAACAATCTCAACTTTCTGGGAAGCATACAGTGCATGCTGCCATTTTATAGGCGCTAAAACACTAACAAGCTAACAAGATTTTTAGCTGTCTCTAGCTGGGTACCCATTCCTACCCAGGTAAAGTGAGGAAAAATCGTGTAAAGTGCTTTTCCCAAGACACAACGTCGGGCCTGAGGCTTGAACCACCGAACTAACCACTAGACTACCGATGCCACAGAGAACCAACTATTGCACAAAAGTTAGGGGGGGGGGGGGGTAGGGGGACAGTAGGTCAGATGTGGTGTCAGATTATCATCTCGTCGTTAGGGAAATTTCAAGTCTTAAAAGAAAGAGCAATTTGGTCAGCTCAATGACTTTATAGCTTGCTCACTTTCTTGTGGCGGCAGTTAATAAGAATGTAAAGAGAAATCGCTCTGTTCAATCATCCCCGATCTTTGCATACAATCATGACCAACAGAATCTAAAAGCCCTTTCATAAAGGTCACTTCAAACTGACTTTCGGACATGTAAGTCATTTAATTTAGTGACCCTGAGTATGCATCCAAAGAGTGGTATTTTAACATAGGGCCTACACAGAAAAGCGTTTATTACTGGATCGAGATTTTTTGAAGGAAAAAAATTGTTTGGTCCTGGCCTGCAAAAGTGCCTTGCAGAATTTTATGGGCAAGGGTAAATTAATAAATGAGCTAGAATCTTTTTTTTTAACGGGATAGACGAAAGTGAACAAGCTTATACCAGACATGGACAAGTTTTTTTTATTTTGTTTTTGGTGACTGTTTTACAGCGTTTGCAACTGCATAAGGTCATATGATCGCCCGAGACACATTAAACATTTGTGAGGCAGCGGGGTGGAATCATGCTGTCGTCCATTTTTGGGCATGTTGAGTTATTGGTATCATCTTAAAGCTTATTCACTGGTCTTTATTTAGATGAAACAATATACAGGGTGATCCAATGAAAACTTGACAACTTTTTTTCTGAATATCTCGCGCAAAAATTGTTCTAGAAAGCTGTAATTTGGAACAGACATAATTCATTCAAAAGGAATTTGTTTGATGCAAAATATACGAAGAAGAAACATGTTTTGACAACGGAAACGGCTAAAAGAAAAAATCACCCAAAAACGCAAAGTTCACCATTGTTTAACAATCTTTTAAAGGAAGTCGTGAAAATATTAGTTGACCTTTTTCTTCATTTTCTCTTTGACATTAATTTTCCACCTCTGTGACATTTAAACAATATTTTAATTCTTTTACAGAGTTAAAAAAGGCTAATGATTTCATTCTGAAATTCCTAGAAGCAGTGCTCCACATTCCCTTCTTTGGACTCAACACATTTTTAACTCGTCGTTCGAAATGTTCAGTGGCGCCCAAACACGAGGACCTGTAAACTATGAGTTTTTAAAGCCTCATACACTGTACATGTTCACTAAGAAGTGGCTTCTAGAGACAATAGAGTGGGGTGCCCAATAGACAGCATCTTTGGAGTTAACATATCCTGCAGGGTGAAAATGGGCTTTGCACTTAACCAAATGTCATCGAGGAAATGATCCCTCTTTACAAGACAATAGAAAAATCATGAACACATTGCCATACCCTGATCCATGTCATCTCGGCCTAGCGAAGATGAACATGGTATAGTCTTAGGTTAAGATCTGCCATGAGAATGCAGACTGTTGATGTGTAGGAAAGTCCTAGCTGCAGATCATCCACGGACAGACGTCTCATGAGACTTGGCTACTGAAATCTGCACTCTGGTGACGTTTAAAGGGCTGCGCTTGGTGCGTTTTTGACCTGAAGTGGTCATGTTTTAAAGAACTTTTTAGTTCTGATTTACTATAGATCCAGACTGACGGGACTTCTCTACTCATGATGCCAAAGGTCTTGGGCACCTAAGCATTCTCTCCATGCCGTGCGCAGAACTTACGGAATGTCAGGGATGGTGAGTTTGTGGAGAGGTAATGTTCAATACAAAAAGCTCTCTGCTCTTTACTACACTGAACCATGATCTAAGTAGGCGAACAGAATTTGGAAAAAATAATATCTGCAGACTTCTGTTGACTTGTGAGACTGCTGTAGCTTGCAATATGGCGTGATTGTTGCAACTTTTAGTGGTAGGTCTAATGCAAACTGGTGCGTCATGCTATGAAAATGGCGACACGGTTGAAAATGGGTTGTTTTTTTAATGCGCTAAATAGAGCAAAACCATTCAATGGACAAAAATACATATCACACAAATTCCTTTTGGCTTCCAAACGTTGTGTTCCAATCTGAAACGCAAAACTTTAGTATGGAGGAAGATATTTAAAAAACAAGTTGTAAAGGTTTTTTTTGGATCACCCTGTACATTTATCTTGAATACAAGTCGAGATATTTGCGAAAGAAGGAGGTGGGGGTCACCTGTTTTCAGAGGTAAAATTAGTGAGAAAATGGCCACCAAATATTACTATTAGTTATTTCCTTAGCTTAAGAGTCCATGGTAACTGAAAAATTTACATTTTGGAGCCTTTAATCAACGCTTTTCAGAAAAATCCACACAGAAATGAGTTCTTTAATGGGCATGAAAGGCGTTGAGCCAAAAAAAAAATTGATAAAATTTCACAAACCTGCGGAACAATTCAAGTTTCTTTACTTTGATTATTTTGACTAGGGCCTGATTCCACCACGCTGCCTCACATTTTTAGTTGGAAATTTTGAAATTTGCCTTGATGGTGGCCGAAGCCTACTCTTATCGATTTTAAGGGAACTTTAACGTGCGCAACTTGCACACGGGCCCTCCTAGAATTTTGGCCCTTATCCGAGGAGGCTATGTGCTTTATCTTTCTTACCTTAAGATCGGGGGTATGGTTGAAAGACAGAAGTGGGAAAGAGCCAAAGAGTAGCAGTAGAAAGGCTGGAGAAAGAACCCAGAGGAGTTGGCAAAGTCGGCAGTAGACTAACTAGACCGCCTTTGTATACGACCAGCCAGGGACCAGGTCGCAACTGAAGGGCACACTGTTTTGCTAGCTCCTTGAAATGAGCTTTGCGCGTTCTTGGAACCAAATCAAGCATTACTTATTTTAAAAGCTGTGACAATTGGGGCAGCAAGGACTATATTGCCAGGTCTTGCCGCAACGAGGACATACGACTGCATTCCGCATTATGACTGGCTATGCTGGAACTTCTGACACTTAAAGAGGCGCAGAGAGTTTGTTGGCATAAACGGTCGCTCGCTGAGAACCTAGAACACCCTCCAAATTTGCCACAATTTCTTACTTGGAGCAGTTCATGGCTGCAGACGGCACCCTTCAAAACGGCTGAACCTCACCTGCCACGCATGTTCACAAGGAATACTGCCGGTGACGCACGCAGGAAGACAGACATTTATAACGGCTTCTGCCCTCCCTCCTCCGAGGGAACTTTTGGAACAGCCGTACCTGATCATCTCCTGCACTTAATAATAATTGCATTTATATAGCGCATATCCATGCTCAAGAGCTTGCTCTATGCGCTTTACAACTATTATTACCCCAGCAGACCCTCTGAGAACACTCAGAAACATTCTCAGCTTCCGCGGAAGCATACAGTGCAAGCTGCGGATTTCACGCGCTCAAACACTATCAAACTGACAAGATCTTTCACTGTCTATAGCTGGGTACCTATTTCCACCTGGGTGAAGTGAGGAAAATTTGTGCAAAGTGCCTTTCCCAAGGACACAACGTCGGGCCCCTGACGGGATTCGAACCCACGACCTTACAGTTGCGAGTTCGAGAGCCTAACCACTAGGCCACCGACGCCACTTACGTTGCAGAAGAGAATTACAGCTCCGAATCTCTTCAAGACAGGAGATGCACTACAGCAATCATTCACATGTACAGTAAACAGCAAAACAATTCCGTTGTTACAGCTTTGAGCCGAACAATTTCATCCTAGTTTGGTAGCTCAAAGTCTCTGAGAAGGTCGTTATAATCAGTCCATTTTTGCCTGATCAAGTGCTGGTATTCTTGCAAAAACACAGAGTGAAAATCTGATTATTTTGATGTTCAGTGGTATCTTCTTCCCCTCCTTTTAATCCAGTAATTGCATCTTGCAGAACAGGAATTGGTAGGTCTTTGCTGTGTGATACTGGACGTGGGCAGATGGAATTTATGGATAGTCAACTTTACTCCTCATAACTCCCATAAGTCTCTTTCTAAATGACTGCTTGGTTCACAACAAACCATCGTTTTAAAGGACAGTGATTTTCTTCTTGTTTATAACCATTGCACCATACGTGAGGAGGCTAACGTTTGTCTTAGTCACCGATTTTGCAGCTGAAATAAGGTGATACGACTTAAAAAATTTATAATATTGTTCTCCTTAGTGCAGTATAGGTAATACACATGTATTACGGGAATAGCCAGAGTTGCAGGGTATAGCGACTATTGACATAGAGTAAAATGAGTTGTAACTGGTTGATCCCAACTGGTCTTTATGTTTTATTATGAAATAAAGAAAATCTACCTCAAGCTATATCGAAAACAACAACTAGAACTAAACATAAAAAGAGTATCATTTTCACATTCGGCGCCCCAAAATTAGTTTCGATCAACTGGTGTAAGGCCTGAAGCTAATTATTAATTGTAGACCTGTCGCGACCCTAGAATTGCACAGTTCTAACTTCTCAGCACCTTGTTTTGATACATTTGACGAAAAAAACCACTTTTACACAATGTCAAGCTTTTTTAAAAGCAATTTAATATTTTTTGTAAGTGTTTTACCGCGCTCGCAATAGCATACTAAGGTCATATTAGCGCGCGGGACACACTAAACATTTTCAGTAGGTAGGAAATGCAATTCTATTAATGTGATCATTACGACTCCAAATAGTCTTATGATTTTGATCGAGTAGACGGAGCATTTGGTTCCTGGTTTCATGGTCTTAGTAACTCAAAATGGCCAATAATATAGCGCAGTGATATAAGTAGTTTCTTTTGCCAGCATTGTTCGTGCCAGTGATGAGGGTGGCCCACAACACGACCGTGCAGCAAAGTTATGCTGACAACGCAGACGACTGTGCGGCCTCCTGCGATTCAATGTCCTCCATTATGTGCAACAGGTGAGCTGAGCTGAGTTTGTATAATGATAATACCGACGGTTGACCAAAGTTGCTCTACAAAAGCAACCAACTTTCAATTTTGAAAGCAAAATCTTACTGGCAGACCTTACTACTTATTGAATTTGAAATGAATTCAATGATCCCTGTCAGATGTTCAAAATATTTTTGTAATGGTTCATCTACGACGACCCCCTTGATTAAGATCGCCGGGGGGGGGGGGGGGGTTGGGGGGGGGGCTAAACATCCTGCGGAAAGATAGATTAAGTGATAAAGTAATTTTCGTGTGCGGGAATTAAACTCATGTCTTCAGGAAGAAGAGCTTAACAATCACAAACGGACACTGCTGAAAAATTTTGTTAAGTTTTGGAATAAACCCAATTACGAACATTCACAGTTTGATCTTGACTCGCATTATAACAAAGACAAATTGTTTGCCTGTTTTATTTATGTATTATTTTTGTTGTTGTTATTATATTCAACAGTTTCGACTTTTGCCCCGACAAAGACTCTCCATCCTGTATCATTGGTACGAGACACGCAGAGTCGGAAGGGGACAAGTCAGACGTCAAAGGACTGTGCACGCACTACTCACGTTAGTATCCTTTCGCTGAAGCATTCATTCCTACCCCTTGTTTTTGTTTTGCTATTGCTGTTTCAGGTGTTACTCCTGCTGTGGCTGCTACTCTTTTTTCTTCTCAGATGATTCTCATACATCCCCAGTTGCTCACGGGAGTTCGCACCAAAAGCATAATTATTTTACCAATTAATCCGACCAAGGGTAAACTGCCGTGATTGCAAGGGTCTTAGAACAATTAATGGACTCTGCTCTCTCTCTTCGAGGCGCCGCGTGCGCCAGGGAAAGGTGAAGCGTCAAGATGGCTGCCGGCTATGGTCAAATCTCCGCGAACTGCGGTGTTTATCGTTACAAGATCTTATAGGGCTGGAGCTACAGTTGGGGGGGGGGGGTGAATGCGCGCAAGGGAAAGGGGAAAATAGGAGAGGGGCTCAATTGAAAGAAGTGGCGCGGGCCTGGAGAAGAGACGGAGGAGAAAGGGAAAACGAGAGAGAGAGAGAGAGAGAGAGAGAGAGAGAGAGAGAGAGAGAGAGAGAGAGAGAGAGAGAGAGAGAGAGGGAGAGAGAGAGGGAGAGAGAGAGAGCTTGTCACCGACTGATAAGGACTAAGGACTGTTAATTTATTTAAGAACTCAATGTTATTGTTTATACTTTAAGAAAGATGGACAAAATAAACAGAAAACCGTTGTCCCTAGCAACAAAATTATCAAACAGACACGAGAAAACAAGGTGTATGAATGTAGATATCTAGAATCTAGATTCTAGATCTTGTCCCGCCAAGACTCGTGTTTTCTCACACACAAAGAAAAGCAGTCTACCCATTTAACAGTTCTTTTAATACAACCTGGGTCTATCTGCTGGGTTGTTGTACAGTTAACCGCAACACAGATGGTGAGCATTAAACAAAAACTAATTGACATGTCAAGAATGTTAGGACAAAACTTCATTGCCTAACCTAGCTTTAAGTGCGAGAGTCAGATGGGGTAGTATTAGAACGTATAGGGTGCAGCGCAGGTTGACTTTAGTTCCACAGCGAGAGAGGGCTTCTGTCACATCAGGCATGGGTTGCCTCCCACAAAGCAGCCTCTGTTTCTATTTATAACTTCCTTGCCTGTATGCAACCAGACCTATGTGCAACCACTTTCAATGCCTTCTAAATAAAGCAGTGTTGAAGAAAAGAAATGAACAGAGCAGACTCAAAAGGAGATAAAGTTAGGCAATTGTCAAACCTTTTCACGAACTATGCCACCTATGCAACGCCAACATGCGTGTTGAGTTCATTGATAAGGTCACTTTTGAACAGACTGCTACAAAAAATAAATGTTCCTTTTTCAACTCTAAAGGGTTTAGGAGAAACCACCCTAACAAGTAGTTGCAGCAGGGCACTTTACTCTAATAATACTAGACTGTTCTACTGTGAGACAGGACAGATCAGACACAGGTTGCTGCCTTCCGAGCAGCCAAAGACCAAGAATGACAAGACACAGGGCACATCTTCCGCTTCCTGTATTTTCAAAAGTTATGCATTTTAAGCACGTACCGGTTGTTTTTATCAGACAATGCGAAGGCTCGTTTTGTGCAAATTTGATGGAGCTTCCAAGTTATGGAAATAGATTTGGATTTAGGTGCGTGTGTATAAAAGATCTCGCAAAGGAATGAAAGAGAAGTCAGTTCTGCTCTGCCGTAAATTGTATGGAAGATGTAAAAGTCCTGGTTTATTTCTTTCGGTTTCCTAAAGATGAAGAGGGCAAAGAGCCTTTTAAAGACCACTTCTCTTGCCAGTATTGCTTCTTTGTTGTTACATTTTCTATGTATATCGTCTTTTCATTCCTGATTCTTAGATGCAGCGCAATCAGATTATAAGTAGAGACAAAATATAATTAAAATCATCACTTAGGTTATTGGTGCAGCCCAGAGTCCATAAATACAGGGTCATTAAAGATTTTATGACACATTGCTTCAGTTCTCAAATATCGTTATGGAATGAATCAGCGGCCAATTGAAAGAGGAGTTATCTAACTGTTGAAACAAAAGAAATGAACCGATTTTATAATGCATTGCTTTAATTCTCAAGCATCGTTATAGAATAAATTAGTACACTATTTGAATTAAAGAGAAGTCATCTCTCAATGGGTGTGCTATTGTCGCCTTGTTCTTTCTTTGAAGTAAGTACCATTACAGGACAAACCAATCTCGATAAGCCCTTCCCCCTCCACCTTCGATCCGTCTGCTCCCATACCCCTCCAGCAGACATCCTCCTCCCTATTGAGGATCTCCCTCCCCAAACTGTCCCCGAGAAAGACGAAGCCTGTCAATCCTCCCACAAATACTCAGTAGGCTGCAGCCCAATCAAGGAAGCAGCTTTGCAAACCCTCTTCCTCTCCTACATTACATGAACGTGTCAGAGCTTAAAGAAACCCGGGCCTTCTTGCCCTAAAACTAAAACTGTGTAATGGTGGCCCTGTAATGGGATGCCGAGGCCTTTGAACTTTCGTTGTTGAATTACAACACTCATAGACCACACTGTGCCCACACTTGCGGCTTGTAGCCAAGAAACTGTTAGCCTCGCTTCAACCATAGATTGCTGCAAAACCGTCCCTTCCACGTTCGTGCAGGTTTTCTTTTTTAATTTACCCTCGACGGTTCTGCTAAAATTTGCCAATGAAGACAGGGAGGTGCAGTTCTGTCGATCCGGCAGACGTGTACTGCAACCGGACTTGACATTATACGGGGACAAGAGTCCCGTCCAGTCCCAGGCTCGTTTCCTCGGAAAAATATTTGACAAAAACATTAATACCTCACATTTAAACGCCAAAACGACAGAATCACTACATCCCGACCTCCCTCCTTAGCAAAATAATTGCGACACTCTCCGCACAACCCCCTTGTGTTTTGCATCCTAGGAGCAAAGTTCGTCCCGACGTCAACCATAGACTCAACTACTTGCGTACTTTACTTCTTGAAATATCTTTTTTTTTAAACTTTTGTTCTTTCTCTTACCAAAATCCTAATGACTCTTTTACCCAGGTACAGCAGGGTGGGCTTACAAAGGTATGAGTGTGGACATGATGTACGCCATCCTCACAGATTGGGTGTATCGCGACATGTTCTCCATACTCCAGTACACGCCTGATGGAGCGGTGAGTCAAGACCAATTTTAAAAATATTTTATTATGTTATTTGCGCGCAGGAAGTCAAACCTGGGCTTGGTCAGCAACTAAAGTATCTTTTTCAGCAGGATTTTAACCGCCGTGGCCACTTTATTTCAATTATTTTTACTCAATCGCTATAACTCCATCTTCCTTGAATTCGTTCAGACTTTGGATTGAAAATTAGCAGAAAAGGGGCTGTCAATATTTGGAATTCTGGTTGCCAACATTTCAACGAATTTTGAGCTGTAAGTTCAAAATCAATTATAAGCTTTGTAAGAATTGTATTTTTAGGGTTAATTGCTTTTTATTCTTATCAGCTCTGTCAAAGATGTTTGCGATGCTTTTGTCAGAATGTGCACCAGCGATTTCTGACTGAAAATACAGTCTGTCTACTGATATTTAGACTATGATGAAAACTTACACAATTGTAGTATCTGTCATACACTCTATTTTGCAATTGGCAATCACCCTATGAATACAATTTTGATAATATTATAATAATCTGGAAAGTTGAAACAAATCGTTGTGTGGAGTTGAAGCATGTGGTAACCAAATTTTAAGAATTAAAAAACAAACAAACCCAAAAACTCTTCCAAGATTTGGTTATCAGCCAAAATCATTGTAAAACTGTGACACGAAAAATGAGGCTCAAAGTCTCAAAACCAATAGACATGTGGACAATAGCAGGAAAGAAACAAAAAAGGATAAAACATAAATCAATGAAACATTCAAATCAGTTTAGTTAATCGTGCTCTCAGTTCAATAGAAAGGTTGGTGAACATTGATAATATGAGTTTTCATAGACATGTGGACAATAGCAGGAGTCTCGTAGTCTACTGAATTAGTAACTTTTTCTAACCCGGAAGAGTCTTGGTGGAGGAGACCCTGGATCAAATCAAATTTTTTTTTTTTCTGAATTGTCTCCAAGAACCAACTCTGATTCATCCACACTGGTCTTACTGCCTAAGTCCATTTATTCAGCCATACCTATCCTTGGTTTCTTCGACCCTTCCTTTTTATACCCTCTGAACCTTTCTCTTTGCTTCTTTATTTTCTCCCTCTTGGCTTTTTCTTTTTCTTTTTGTTGTTGTTGCTAAGAATGTTTATTTCTCCTTTTTATTTCTCCTTCGTCTTTTCCCGCCTCTTTTTCTATGTCAACTTTCCTCTTTGCCTTTTCTGTTGCTTTTTTAAGAAGCCAATTTTTACTGACAAGATGGTTGATAAATTCTGTTCGTCTTATCAGCGATCCGTTTTCCTGATTATTGTTTCAATGTATGCACGATCTTTTTATTGCTTACATTTGATTAAATTTGATTAATTAATCTTTTTTTAAGGGGTGGGGGGGGGGGATCATACTTTGTCTTTCGCTCTGTTTGGGTGGATGCTTACAGGACAAAATCTGTTTGTGGTGTAGCCTTTACTGGGATCAGTCGTTTTTCTTCGACGGAAAAACTTCTTTTGTTCCGGCATAACCCACTCTCTACTACACCTTCGCAAAGCCCTTACTTTGCGAATGTCTACAAGCTGTTGCATAGTGTGAAATCTGGCAACAATATCGAGTACGTACGTCCCAACTTACAACACTAAACTATGCATGCTACGGTACCGCTGGCACTTCTGTGACCTATGCATGTACTATGCTGAAAACGCGCGCTTGGTCTACGCTATTGCAATTTACATAATATTATTTACATAGACGTTGGTAGCCTATACGACTATGCCGTCATTTTTAAATGACAGTCACTTCAGATGGGTATCTCTCTGAGCTGAGAAAGTTTTGGAGAAGTTCGGGGAGGAGAATGTGTTATACCGAAGAGGCCTTGTTCCAGTGGGATGGGACCACACCCAACACGTGAAGAGTGTTCCTTGTGTAGTTGTAAGAAAGTTATGGATGCCACCTTGTAAGCCGAAAGTTTACTAATAAACAATTGGCACATTCTCTCAGAATTTAGCCCCTTTAATTACTAAAAACAAGATAAAATAAGATCACTCTGTCTAATCTTCTCAGATCTCTGCATACAAGTCTAAAAGTTAGATGACCAACAGAATTTTAAATCCCTTTCATAAAGGCCACCGTAAACTAAGGTTCCGATACGTTTTCTTTGATGTAAGCCTAAAGCGGTTCGTAAAAATAATAGTGGATTTACGGCGTACACGTTTAACATTTTTAAAATGGCATATTTTCATCAACACCACAGTTTAACTTTGTAAGGCTCGCCAAAGAACCAAAATTCAAGAGACGGGGTGAGTAATTTTCGAGACTCGCGTGGAGGTTGAAATCTACAAGTTTGCACTGAAATGTTAGGGCAGGGTGGTTGTCGCTGTCTTAAAATGAGCATTTTTTTTTTTTTTTGGTTGTGCCCTGCCCAATTCTATCATCTGGCGCTTTTGTGTTTAGTAATAACAATCAACTGTGTAGCATTTTGAGTTTTGGACTTAGCTGTTAGTCTTAAAGTATACACACAGGAAATTTTTTTACATGTAAATAAATACATGAGTAAATAGGTAAAACAAAAAAGGTTTCTTCACTCTTATATGGTTATTTAAAATGAGCTATTAGTAGGTAAGGTAAGTTATTTATTTTAATGATCCTGTGTATACACCCAGAGAGCGATTTTTAATATAGGGCCCATAGAGAAAAAAACCGTTTTAATTACTGTATAACTAAACCTGAATGGCTTTGCTTTTGATCCTTACTAATACAGTTTGGCGATGTGGAGAGAAAGAGGAGGGTGATGGGGAAAGTAAAGAGGCAGATGAATATACAAGAGATGATGTAGAGCGAGAGAAGAGATACAGATATATAAACAGCAGTGGAGATATAGATGGGTTTTTTTAACAATTAGTAATATTATAGCTCCCAATGAACGCATTTCACTGAAGCAAAATTTCTTTTGATGTGATGAAAAGTGCTCAGGAAAATAGCCATGATCATGCAACGGTGTGTGAACTGAGCCTATGTCTCCTTCTGCGCGGCGCGACCTTTAGTTGCGTGCGACAGTCGCTAGTGATGAATCGTGAGGTACCACATCGCGCCAATTTTTCAGTCGCTTGCGACAAAAGCTACAAAGCCGTCTCCTTATGCGCGACATGGCGTTTAACAACGCGCGACTTGCTAAGTCCTTGCGCGACTGGCAATTCACAGAAGACAGACAGTGGCAAATTTTAATGTCAAGATGGACAACGAAGTACAACGTACGTCAGGTGCGAGTTCTACGAGCCGCTGATATATTTTTATTCCGTACAGGGCCAATCTTGTGTAAGTCCTCCTCCTCCTCCACCTCCTCCCCCTCCTCCTCCTCCTCCTCCTCCTCCTCCTCCTCCTCCTCCTCCCCCTCCTCCTCCTCCTCCTCCTCCTCCTCCTCCTCCTCCTCCTCCTCCTTCTGCTGTCCGTTAAAAATAACCCAACAAAATTAGATTCACGAGACCTGCATTGGGTCGAATTGACAATGAACATCCCACACATGCACACTAATCACCTCTATGCAAAAAAACATGTCAATCAGAGCACATTTGGCTTTTAAAAAATGACCTTTTCAAAATGTTCCGTCTCTCTCTCTCTCTCTCTCCCTCTCTTTCTCTCTCTCTCTCTCTCTCTCTCTCTCTCTCTCTCTCTCTCTCTCTCTCTCTCTCTCTCTCTCTCTGTGTTTCTCTCTCTCTTTTCTCTCTCTCTCTCTCTGTTTCTCTCTGTGTGTCTCTCTCTATCTCTCGCTCTCTCCCTCTCCCTCTCTCCCTCTCCCTCCCTCCCCACTCTCTCTCCCTCTCTCTCTCTCTCTCTCTCTCTCTCTCTCTCTCTCTCTCTCTCTCTCTCTCTCTCTCTCTCTCTCTGGGCACACGAAAGAAGGGCCTTTCGGGCGACGATGCTTACCCTGTCAGCATTTGGGACATGCCGAAGCAAACGTCCTTGGGGTGGTCACCGTTTGTGGTGATCTCCCCAAAAGATGAGAAACAGGACCTAACATCTCTAAGTGTTTTTAAAATTCACAAAGCACTAAAAACATTCCAAATCATGAAAGCCAAGTACATAAAAAACCTAGGATCCACGGACCTCCTAGTACAAGTCAGCTCTAGCACAGAGTCAGGTAAACTGTTGACCTGCACCTCGTTTTGCGGCTTCCCCGTACGTGTTCAACCACACAGAAGTCTGAACTCATCCAAGGGTGTCACCAGAAGCCGAGAACTCTGCGAGTGGCTTTACAGAAGAAGACATGGCCCAGGAGGTCGAGGGAATTGTCCATGCTCGTCGTGTTAGAGTGCGGCGAGATGGCAAGGAAATCTTTACCAACACGTGGATCTTTACTTTCAACACACCCACACCACCTACAAAAAGAGACATTGCATACTTAGAGCTAGAGGTAAGACCGTACATTTTCGAAACCTATGCGTTGTTCCAACTGCCAGCGCTTCTGACACACACAGCTGCGCTGACGTTATGGTGCAGCGTGTCCTCGCTGCGGCAAGGAAGGGCACTCTGGGGAGACCTGCTCCGCAGATCCCTGTTGTTCACAGGAGAAAGCCATCCTGACACATAGTGCTCACTACGTTGGAACGTTGGCTCAAGCAAGAGCAACGTTGTATCCAACAGGATCGACCCAGAGGAATACGAAAACTTATTCCAAAGTCCTGAAGACGGTCCCAGGGTCAGTGAACCCAACCCGAAAGGTCTTTCAGACCAACAGACAGAAGCAGAATACCTGCAACAAGAAACGATACTCCAGTCTTGAGACGGAGGAGTCCCCTTTCTTCCCTCCTACCTCTCCCACTCCCCATCCACCACCCCCGCACCCCTTCTTCGTCTCCACCCTCTCAGCCATCCTCTTCATCTTCACCCCCATCACCATCTCCACCTCCATCATCACCACTCCCATCATCTTCACCCCCCAACATCCTCACCATAATCATCTCCACACCAATCATCACTTCCTACACCCTAATCGCTTCCTACTCCATCTTCCTCTTCTCGCCCTCATTAACCTCTCCCACTTTCATCCAACAAAGTCCCTCTACCCGCTCCCCGCACCCCCCCTCCTCTACCCGCGTCCGGGACTCCAGTCCTCATCCCCCTCCACACTCCCCTTCAAAAAAGCTGCGATCCACCGTGACCGCAACATAACAAAACCGAAACAACGGTAACCTACGACCAAAAAGAAATGCATTGAATCCGATCGCCAGAAGGGAACACCGTATAAGGTCCTTGGTCTAGAGTCTAGGCCAAACCCGCGATCCCTCCACGCATAACAATGCCCAATACAGAAATTGCGAATCGTGGGAAAGGCAAGGCACAGTCTTCCACTGCACGCTTTGGCGCCACAGTAAGCTTGGAAGCATGCAATAACGAAACTTCCACATTAAGTATTTAATTTTCTAGTGGCGGTGGTCGTATAGGCTTGGTGACTTTATGATTACAGAATAGTTCACTCAGTCTTTCTCCTCCTACTTTCTCCTCCATCTCTTTCTTCTCATCCATCTCATCTTCCTCCTGCTAGTGCTGCTGTTGCTGTTGTTAATGCTGCTATTGCTGCTATTGCTGCTATTGCTGCTATTGCTGCTATTGCTGCTATTGCTCCTATTGCTGCTATTGCTCCTATTGCTGCTATTGCTGCTGCTCCCCTCTTCATTCCGCCCCCCCCCCCTGCTGCAATATCTGATCTTTCTCTTTTTCCCTGCTCCTCGAACAATAGATATGTGTCTGTCTTTCACCCATCTCAAAATCATCATCCTCATCATCATCATCATCCTCCTCCTCTCCCTCTTCTTCTTCCTTGTCCCCTCTCTGACTTTTTTAAAAATTGTTTTTTTTAAATCGCATCCAACAATAACTATGTGGCTGTCTTTATACATCTCCAGAACAAGACTTACATAGCCACAGACATCCGTGACGACATTCTCCGCTCAACTGATCCAGATAGCACCTCTGGTAGGAATGGCCCTGAATGTGCCTTGTTCTTTCCCTCTCTCTCTCTCTCTCTCTCTCTCTCTCTCTCTCTCTCTCTCTCTCTCTCGCGCGCGCGCGCGCGCGCGTTCAAAAGTGTTTTACGGCGCTCGCAACTGCATAAGGTCGTATGAGCGCGAGGGACACGTTAAACATTTTTCAATTGGTAGGAAATTTAGGGTTTTGCCACAGCGGCGGCTGAAGCCTACTCTTATCGATTTTGGACCACCGAGGGGTCTTTAACGTACGCAACTTGCACACAGGACGTCGGAGAATTTTGCCCTTATCCGAGAAGGCTAGGTGTAGATCTTACCTACCATAAAATCAGGGGTGTGGCTGAAAGACAGCAGAAAGAAGGAACTAAAGAGTAACAGTAGAAAGACTGCAGAAAGATTCAGGAGCCCGAGGACGGGGGCAAAGGAGGTGAGGGAGTGGAGGACAGAAAGAGAAAAAAAGCAGACAACATAACATGGTTAGACAGCAGGACAGAATGTGAAAGGATAATATTTTAAAGAAGAACATTTTTCGTCGCTATTCAGATTCGCAAGCGAGGCAGGGGAAGGCCCAGAACAACATACTTAGGGAACCTAAACAAATGGGTAACCGGGAAAGATAATGGAAACGTAGCTTTTTTGAGAGCACCCGAGCAAAGGAATGAATGGAGAACCATGATCGCCGATGTCTGTCGCAGATCTCTCACTGGATGATGATGATGATGATTTTGTTTTGTTTCCTTAATGAGCCTGGCGGACTCCACAAAGACATCTTCGAGCGAGAGCGAGGCTCTTTTTCGGCTCCTTTGTCAATATGCTTAGCAGCATTTCCACTCGTCCAAATAACTGCATTCGAATTCCCATTGTTCCTGGACATTCAAACATATGTTTGACATCCTCCTTTCCATGGCCGCATCTTCGGCAACATGGACTGAGCTCTTCGTTTAAAAAGTTCTTATACCATCTTAAGCTCCAATGATGGTCCGACAGCAGTCTCGTTAGCTCAACCTGGTCCCTGCGACATGTGATAGATTTTTGCTCCCGCTTATAGGAGTACCCAGAATACACATCTCATGATGATGATGATGATGATGATGATGATGATGATGATGATGATGATGATGATGATGATCATCATCAATTT